ACGAAATGGAAAATTTTCTTCTCACTTTGTAGACTGTCGCATATAAAGAAGATTTGAAAAATTTTTGTGATATTTTTATGTTAAAGTCTGATGTTTTCCCTGCAAAATTCGTTTTTTTAAATTTAAATTTTGATCTTTCCTTACCAATTATCGAAATTGAAGAGAAAATGTTATTTTCATTTTGATCATTTATAACTCCGTTAAAAATCATCGTACAGCAATTTAAGAATGATTCTTAAAGCTGAATTTTTGCTCTATAAGATGATATGGAGACTGAATTTTTTTTTTAACTGAATGAATTTTTTTACAAATAGGTGAAAATAACGAAGAAATTCGCGTTTTCTCTCTTTTGTTGAAAAAGTTACATAAAGTGATTTTTTCAACAAAAAAAAAATAAGAACATTTTTTGAAACAAAGTTACAGCTATTTAAAGTCTGCCTTTTTGTACAATTTTTTCCCTCAATTATTTTGAAGAGTGTATATAAAATATTTTTTTCTTTTATTTTAGATATTTTTTAAATAAGTAGATACAGAGATCTTATTCTCGAAAAAATGTTGGCTTTTAAATATTTGGTACAAAGACTTCTTCGTTTCATTTTTAAAAGAGTATACCAAATCGCGAGATAAAATGTTCCCAGTACCTTGGTGGTGAATCTCACGTCCCGTATGGCCTTTATCATGTGCAGGCCCATCTCGACGCAGCAATGGGCATGATCGCTCCTGGCGATCGGCAGGCCGGAGATGCAGTAGTAACAGTCACCGAGGAGCTTTATGCGCAGACAGTGGTTTTCCGCCGACAGCTTGTCGAAGCGAGCGAAGAGATCGTTCAGCACCTTGACCAGTTCCTGAGCGCTGCATTGACTCGCGAGAGCTTGGGTGAGATCAAGACGGAATGAATTATTATTCATGTCTTCGACTCGTATATACAGGGTCCCATTTAACAAGCATACGTCATTTTGACGTCATTTTCTCGTTTAATGACGTCATTTTGACGTTTAATGACGTTTAATCAGTTCGCTACTTGGGGTGTTTTTAAATAAGTGCGAAGAATTTTAAAAGATGATTCTTCGTCAAAATTTAAAGGAAATTTTTTATATAAAAAAAAATGTATACTTCTTTTGTAAGAAGCTACATTTCTTCAAAGGAAAATTTAAAAATTAAGGTTAAGTGTTTTTTTCTTGAAAACTATTGAGTTTTACGAAAAAAATGAAAGAAATAAAAAAGTTTCCAAAGAAATCAAGCTTTCTAGCGCATATTTTTAAATAATCACATTCCGTTGAAAAATTCTAATAAAAAATTGAATAGGGGTTGTTAGTTTCATCCCCTTGTAACGATACGAAAAAATTAAAAAAATATGAATTAATATTCTTTTTATTAGTGGAAACATCAAATTTTATTTTTTTAACTGGCCCAAAATTTGAGAAAAGAATATAAAAACCTAATTAATTTTTATAACTCCTTGGAGTAACTCCTCAGAGAAGAAATATATGGGGAAATGTATAATATGTTTTTATATGAAAAATCCCTCTTAATTTTCAACAAAACATCATTTCTAAAGTTTTTCGCATTTATTTAGTTTTTTCCTTTAGTGAAATTGAAGATATATGTATGTATGAGAAAAGTGACAGTCTTTCTGCGAGCGAGATTTTTCTCTTTGAATCATACCTGTGAATCCCTTGATATCGGCAAACAGGATACTGACGTTCTCATAGCGATGGATGTATATCCGGTGGAATTGATTCGGAGTGAAGGATATCGTTCCTCCACGTGCGGTTTCGCGAGAGATGTCACGGATCATCTCCTTGGCGACGAAATCGGGTAACACTGCAATCGAGTAAGAATGATAAAAAATTAATTATTTCAATTTTTTATATATATTACAATTGGTATTTTTATATATTATTTTTTATATTTCTTATATAATTTTATTTGTATATTATATTATATTTATTTATATTTTATATTAGAGGTACATATATGTTATATTTTTTATATTTATTTTTATAGTATTATATATATATATATATATATATATCTATATATATATATATAATTTTATATACCATATATGTATGTATATACATATGTATATAAAACTATATTGCATGTGCATATATTGTTAAAATGAAAAAAGTATGAAGCTATAAAAGCACATAAATTTTAAGTTTTGAAAATGATTGTTGTAAGAGAAAATTGCTTAAAACTTGCAGTTTATTAAGATTTTATTTAAAAATATAATATACGTTTTATTAAAAAAAAAAAATCAATTTGACCTTGAATGCAACTTCACTTAACAGAGAGAAAGAGAGAGTAATTATTTTATTATAATAGATATTTATACATATAATTTATCATTCTTATATTATTATTTTATGTAACTTTTACATGGTAATAATCACTTTATAAAAATATAAAAAAATTGTGCGTTGTACGTGTTCCCTATTCTTTGACATATACGAGATTTCTCGATGAAAATGTCGCTATTATTGTAAATTGCCACATAATTTATTCTCTCTCTTCGTTAAATATTTCTTCATCTAATTTTCACCTGTCATAAAAAAAGTGAGAAACAGAAGCTGTTCAGCTGGCTGTTTCTAACATATCTCAAGCTTTATCTTCAAGTTCCTGAAAAGGGTTCTTCAATCTCCAGGGCTTATAACTTTGTATATAACTAACAAAAAGAAACGCCTCGCGACATTATACATATCAATTCAGGGAAAACACAAACAAATTGTACGGCGAGCGTTACGTTGCGAGAGGGATAGTGGGTCAGAGGTTGCTGGTGTATTTATGTAATCCCGGTGTAATGTGTACTCGACGACGACGTGTATTTTTGTCTAGGCTACGAGGAGCAGCATCGGATCGATATATCGGGATCTTCCTCTCTCTCTCTCTCGCTCTTGGCGGAGGAACAACGCCGACGTAACGTAAAAGGCTATCGGAAAAACGTGCGTCCAATCGGCGCAATCGGCCGAGAGAGTGTCTAGTGACCCTTTTTGACACTCGGCCGAGCAAATTATGCATGGACGAGCGGCGACGCGAGTTACCCGTCCCGCGCGTGTGTCGTTTTACAATAAATATACACATATAAATATACCTCCAGCCTAGTTGCGATCCCACGATGAGAGCGAGTCTCCTTCTCGAAGGCTTCATCTCGAGAGAGAGAGAGGGATCTTCGAGTCGCGAACTCTCTAATCGCGTGTTTCACATGAGCTCCATGATTGATTAACTCCAGCTTGAACGTTAATTCGTGTCCAAAGATCTTGCTTTAGCAAGAAATTTATTTGCTTTTCTTTAGCAATGCATAATTCGTCACCTTTCCATCAATGTATGGATACCCTTTTATCAATTTATGGGTATCAACTTGGTATTTTCGACACATTGCACTGTGACATTTTTTTTAGAACAGTTGCTGGCATCGAACATTCTTTATGTGTCGTTTTACAGTACATATATGTACATAAATACACCTTCAGTCTAGTTACGATCCCGCGACAGCTAGTCTCCTCCTTAAGGCTTCATCTCTTCGAGAAAGAGGGACCTTTGAATCGTGGACTCTCTAATTGTTCGTTTTACATGAGCTTTATGATAGATTAAGTTCAGCTTGAACACTAATTCGTGTCCAAAGATCTTGCTTTAGCAAGAAGTTCATTTATTTTTCTTTATCAATGCATAATTCGTCACCTTTTCATCAATGTATGAATACCCTTTTATCAATTTATGGGTATCAACTTGGTATTTTCGACACATTGCACTGTGACATTTTTTTTATAACAGTTGCTGGCATCGAACATTCTTTATGTGTCGTTTTACAATACATATATGTACATAAATACACCTCCAGTCTAGTTACGATCCCGCGAGAGCGAGTCTCCTCCTTGAAGGCTTCATCTCTTCGAGAAAGAGGGACCTTTGAATCGTGGACTCTCTAATTGTTCGTTTTACATGAGCTTTATGATAGATTAAGTTCAGCTTGAACACTAATTCGTGTCCAAAGATCTTGCTTTAGCAAGTTCATTTATTTTTCTTTATCAATGCATAATTCGTCACCTTTTCATCAATGTATGAATACCCTTTTATCAATTTATGGGTATCAACTTGGTATTTTCGACACATTGCACTGTAACATTTTTTTTAGAACAGTTGCTGGCATCGAAGATTTTTTATGTGTCGTTTTACAATACATATATGTACATAAATACACCTCCAGTCTAGTTACGATCCCGCGAGAGCGAGTCTCCTCCTTGAAGGCTTCATCTCTTCGAGAAAGAGAGACCTTTGAATAGTGGACTCTCTAATCGTTCGTTTTACATGAGCTTTGTGACAGATTAAGTTCAGCTTGAACACTAATTCGTGTCCAAAGATCTTGCTTTAGCAAGAAGTTCATTTATTTTTCTTTATCATGCATAATTCGTCAGCTTTTTATCAATGGATACCCTTTTATCAATTTATAGGCATCAACTGCGTATTTTCGGCGCATTGCACTGTGACAATTTTTTTATAACAGTTGCTGGGCATCGAACATTTTTTTCCGTTAAATTTTAGAAGGGCTCCGAAAACAAAGGCTCTTTGTATTTTTTTTCGAGCAGAGAACAGTTCCGATACATTTTGAACGTTTAAAGTTGTTTCGGGTACCTGGGTACTCATTCATTGACAGAAGATGGTTTAGATCTAGCTTCTAATTTTTTTCAAAGTTTTTCTCACTATTAATTATTAGATTCATTTGATGGATATTTTTTCTACTGATTTGATGTACCTGAATAAGCGTGTTAGATATTATTCATCAAATCTCTACTACAATAAATCTTCATAAAATACAAGATTAATTAATTAATTGTATGATTGGAAGCATTTATTATTTATCTTTAGAATAAATCATCTAAAAGGACATATTGTAAATATATTATAAAGCATGAGAGAAGAAGCAGAATTATGCAAATTTTTTTTGCTCTTTTACCTGAAAGCAGCAGCTTCTCCTGCCGATTATTTTCATTCTGCGTGCGCTGCCGCGTCTCCGTCGAACGATGGGTCTCGAGGAAGGCCTGTCGTTGTCCTCGGTCCGTCAGGTACTTGGTGTACATGCCGGCCAAGTTCACGGCCAGGTACAGCAGCACGTTCGTCGTCAGCATTCGGACGATGCACGAGACGTCACGCAGCTGCGAGAAAAATTTTTAAATTTTGTTCACTCTAATTTAAAGGCTTCGTAAATTAATAATCGAAATTAAACAAAATTAAAGAACTAAAATCAAATATAAAAATTGCAAAAAATGTAGCTTAAGTTATTAAATAAAATTAATATGTATATATATTAAATATATATAATATATATATATATATATATATATATATATATTAAATATTATATTATATTATATATTTATATTATATTTGTAATTTTATTGTTGCACTTTAATTTTTTTACTTTAAAAAAATTTTCCAATTAATCGTAAGAGAGTCACAGATTTAATGTTTGAAGATTATAAATATGTGAAAAGAAAATCGAGAAAAATTTTTTTTCATTACATTATTTATTTAACATATAAAACATTATCTTACTCGTAATAAAAATTTTGTCTTTTAATTGAAAAAAAATTCGATTAAGAAAATGTCTTCGAAGAAGCAGATTTTGGGGGTGAAAAAATTCCAAGGGATAAAAAAAAATCCCTTACATATGTGGAGTCCCGCAGGAGACTTATGCCGGCCATCACCATGTGTGTTAGCGCCGTTCCGTAGCCGGCGAGGACGCACCATCTCAAAGGCAGGGGTAGCATCGCGTATGGCGCGTACACCACGAAGAGTATGTACCACATGAGTCGTTGCTGGGTGGTAAAGTTCAGACCGGCACCTATGAAGCCTGCGAAAAAAAAAATTTTTCCAAGGGAAGGCACGATTAAAATTTTTATTTTTGTTTATTATTTTCATTTTTTTATTTTAAATATGCAAATCAATTCCAGTGCTATTTATTAAAAAAAAAGTAAATGCTTAATTTTTTTTACTTATTCCATAGAGTTTTCCAAGGGGAGGCATGATTAAAATATTTTTTATTTCTTATTTTTTGTTCCTTTTTAATTTTTTTGTCATTTTATATTTTCATTTTTTATATTAAATATGCAAATAAAATTCCAGTATTATTTATTCAAAAGGATAGCAAATGCTTAATTTTTTTATTGATTCTTAGAGAGGGAAAAATTTTTTTTCCAAGAGGAGGCTAAATTTTTTTTGTTTTTTTTTAATTTTTTTGTCATTTTATTATTTTTATTTTTTTATATTAAATATGCAAATAAATTTCAGTGTTATTTATTCAAAAAGAGAGTTAATGCTTAATTTTTACTGACTCTTAAAGCCGGATCTCTTGCCTCCTCATGGACGTCAATCATGACGTCCTCGTTTTCTCCCGGTCGATATAAAAGGTGTGGAATATTTCGGAGCTTATTGTCGCGCATATATAAAATCTGAACCCCAGTAAAATTACCGGTTTCGGTCTCTGCCTTCGCTCCACGCTTCAACGAGCTCGATTTTAGCTGACCAGTAGAGCAAGACGCCGCTCGATTCAACGACGGACTCGATAGAAATGAAATATTGACGACCCCGAGTATGTGAGGAGCCATCACAATAGTGTGCGAAAACAAATTTCGTCGACCGGGGAAACGAGAAGCTTCACTTTGGCTTTACATATAAATATCAAATATTTTCAATCCCTCGTCTCCGGGAGAGATTTTAAAACGCGATAATTTTCGTGGACGCAGAAGAAGCGACGAGCGAAAGGGGAGGATATTTCCAAATGGAGTAATTATAATTGCGCGCCGAGTTTATAATTACGGGGATCGATCGGGAGGTCGGAACGAGTCGCGTGGGCCTCACCTTGGGAGTTTATTAATAACCAGGTGAATATCGAGGCCCAGTACAGATAATTGCTGGAGAAGCATTGCCACCAGCCGAGCACGCACACCACCAGATTCGCCGCCATGCAACACACGGCCCAGGACAGGCCCTCGATGAGACCGCCATTGTTTGGGTCCCGTTGCCAGAGCCAGATCGCAGTTAACGTGATCTGCGACCAAAGATCGTCTCGATTAAATTGCAGCCTGAAAAGTACCCTTAATTTCAGCCAGGGCGTTCTTTTATATGGGGTAAAAGAGGGAAATTTTAGTTTTTTGCCATTATCTCGAAAACTATCAATTTTTCGAGAAAAATGGTTATTATGAAAATTATAGCTCATAAAATTCTCTACAAAAAGATCATTATACTTTTTTTCGCACAACTAATCGTTTTTAAGTAAAACGTGCGGTTAAGTAAAGTTGCTATGTCTATAGTTCGTTATATAATTATTGACTTAATTCACTCTATAACTCTTTGAAACGGTTAATTCTACGAAAAAAAGTATAATGACCTTTCTTGTAGGGAATTTTATGAGCTACAATTTTGTTAATAACTATTTTTCTCGAAAAATTGATAGTTTTCGAGATAATGACAAAAAACTAAAATTTACCCCCTTTTATTCCCCATTAAAAAACCCTTAACTAAAATTAAGGGTACTTTTCAGGATTTCATTAGAACATCGAAATAAAGGTCTCCACAAAAATTTAGCTTGATTATAATTTTTTTGAAGTCAAAGTCTAACTTTACTGGACTATTTGTTTTCGAAACAAAATACAAAGATCTTTTGTACTCGAAAAATACAACAGAAAAGGATGTTCAGCAGCTAAAAGACAATTTCCATACATTAATGGAAAAAATATACATTGACAGAAAGGTTAAATAAAAATTTATAGGCTCTTCTATTAACTTCTTTTTTTGCCGTGTCTTATTTTTTTATCAATTATACTTTCTATAGAAGCGATTTGAGATTTATTGATGATAAATTTTTAATTTAAAGTTTCACGGAAAATAGATTTTTAATTTCAAGAGAGAGATTTAAGATAAAATTCGAATCTATTTTATAATTTCGCAAAGTTGCGATTAATAATTGGCTGATTTTTCACTCGAAAATTCGATAAAAAGCAGAACATTTTTTTATCTTAATAATAATGATCTCAAATCAATTTTTAGAGATAATAATATTAAAGATTTTTAGAGATAAATCATTTTACAAAGAAATAATAACTTATCTTAAAATATACTTTTCTCTAAAAAATTTATGTACGATTTTATTTAATTGCATCATTTACTTTTCATATAATTTTTCTGTACGAAATTATTTTTTTCTGTTGTTTTACTCACTTTCAGGCCGAGGTCCACGATGTTCAGCGTTATCAGGGACTTCTGCCTCTGTCGATTCGAGTAGAGAAGATAGGATGTCTCCAGCTGCTTGCTGTGAAAGCTGTTGGTCAGCGAGGGTAAGAATATTCCCTTGTACAGCATCCCCTTCTTGAAGACATCTAAAACGCAACGTTAACGTCTAACTTCAAACTAAATCAAAATTAACGATGGGATTAAGTATTTTACAAATATTAGATTTGAATTTATTTTTGTATGGTTTAGAACTTTATGATTATTTCGAAAAAAACAGTACTTTTAAATGGAACAAGATAGATTTAAATTCTTTTTAAAGAATTTTTTGAAAATTATTTTGTATACTATTTTACATACTATTAAAAATAATTAATTGAAATTATTTTATATGTATATCTACTCATGTGCATACATTTTTATTTTTTTCTTATATATATATTTTTCTTCTTTATATTTTTTCCCTTTATATAAAAATATGTAATCTTACATTATTTTTATAGGATATAAAACAAAAAATATTTTGTTAATCAAAAATTTTAAAAGAATTTAAAATATATACTATAATAATATTAAAATAATGAATTAAAATAATTTTACATGTATAAATCTATACACATAATAATAAATATATATATTACATAAAATAAAAAAATACTTCGTAAATAAAATAGAATTATATTATTAAATATATTATTATATTATATATTACTATATTAAATATATATATATATATATATAATATATTATATATTATTATATTTATTTATTATATATATAATAATATTATTATATATTATTAAATATTATTACATATTATTTTATATTATTAAAAAATAATGATTAGAAAATAAAACTTGGTTATTGTTTCGACTATCGAATTTTCAAGCACGTATCGAACTTAAATTCTAATGAGGGCTTCTCTTCGAACGAGAAGAAACTCGAGGGAATTTCGTACCGCGTTGGGTCTGAGCCTCCTCATCGGGCACAGGCTGTTCCGCGCCATCGGCGGCTTCCGCTTCCGCTTCCTCGTCGTTTTCCTCGTCGAGCTCTTCATCGTCGTTCTTGTCCTCGGCGACGATCTCGGGATCCGCGTTGGACTTCCGGTCCTCCCACGCCGCCAATCCTTCCCGGCCCAGCCTCTCGGAGGTCAGTTTCTTCACCGCTTTGATCCATAATTGTTTCCTCGGCGAAATGCTCGACCTGAATTTTCATCAAGATACGAATTTTTAAATTATCGAACGAGACAGACAATTAATATAATGCCGCGAAGCGTGAAATTTGTCGAGAGTATGATTCCATCAGAGATCGCGGACTAATCTTTGGTGAAAAAGAAAACAAAAAAATATATATATATATATATATATATATATATATATTGTAAAAATATTTTAAAAGAATTAAAAAAATTATTTTAAATGAAGTTTTTATTAGTATTATTAGAAATAATGAAATTAAAATAATATTTTAATATTATTCTATTAATGCTATAACAAATATTATTCAGAATAATTTTTAAAATTCTTTTAAAATATTTTCAAAAATTTCTTCATATTATATATTATAGAAAATAATTTATTTTTGTTATTTATTATGGTATATAAAATTGTTTTAATTTTATTTCTAATAATATTATTAAATATTCATATATTTTATATATCTTATATAATTATATATTTTATATATCTTATCAGTGATAATAACTAATTCAATTACTAATTGATTCTTCTCAATGACATTTCAATGTTTGCAAAGTTATATTTATCACTATCAGTTATCAGAAGATAATACACTGATTTTATTTCAGAAAAGAGTGTATTCTATGGTTATTTAATTAAAAAATTGGAATTCATAGAATGTTTCGAGAGAAAATATTTATAATTGTATATCTTGATAAATTATATATAAATAATAACATTATTAGAAACAAAATTAAAATAATTTTATATACCTTAATAAATAACAAAAATAAATTATGTTCTATAATATATAATATCAAGAAATTTTTTAAAAATATTTTAAAAGAACTTTAAAAATTATTTTGAATAAAATTTGTTATACAATAGTATTAATAGAATAATATTAAAATATTATTTTAATTTTATTATTTCTAATAATACTATATTAAAAACTTCATTTAAAATAATTTTAAAAATTCTTTTAAAATATTTTTACAATATATATATATATATATATATATATATATATTTTAATATATATATAAATATATATAATGCAAATTATAAAAAATATTTTGTTAATAATGGAATAATATTACTATAGAGAAATTAATGCTAAAAATAATTCTATATTCAAATTACGCTAATAAAATTGTCGGATATAAAGATTTATTTTTATAGATAAATTTCTAGAAAAAAACGAGATGTGTAATTAAAAATATCTCTTTTTTTTTGCAGATGGAACAAATTTCACACTTGACGGACGGACAAGAAAAAAGCCAAGGATCACTCACTCGTTGATGCTCGTGACATCGCTGTCCAGCATCATGCTCCAGGTCTGTTCTGTAATCATTATCTCCCCGATGATCCGCGGATCACGACTGACCGCTCACGTTGTGATCGTCAGTAAGGCAACAAGTGCCTTAGTGTCATCCGGCATTGTTCACAGACACCTTGAATAAAAACTGACTGCGAGGAAGCGACGATTGCTCGCACCACTGCGACGTTTTTCGAAGCGAAACGTCGTTTCTCGAGAGAGAAATAAATAAAGAAAAATAAATAAATAAATAAATAAAAAAAAAAAAACAGAAACGCGACCGAGAGAGAAATAGAGGTGCCGAGAGAAAATCGGATACGTTTCGTGTATCAAAATTCGTTTGAGATCGGGCTTTTACTAGATCCGCGTGCTTTTCACGATCGACGAGATGCGAGAGAGGCGTCTGGTCTGGGAAGTGTCATGTCTTTTTCCTTTCTCTTCGGCGTATCGGGTCGTGACGAAAACGCCTCCACGGGGACGCCTACGCGTTTTCCTTTTTCCTCCAACACTTTTACGTGTTCCTTTAATCGCTCCAATATTGTCGACTTCTTCCTCGATACGCGAGGTTTGGCGGAAAGGAAACGACATCGTAAGAGGACAAAAGAGAAGCATTACTCGTTTCTTACACCTTGACGGGTTAAATTTTATTTGACATTTAAATTTCGAATTTTAAATATATTTTAGTAATTAAATATAGTTTTTATTTAATATTAAAATAAACTATTAAAATTATATTTATATTTAAAGTAAATTAAACGTGTGTTAAAATATATTTTAATATATTAAAACATATATTTTAATATTAAATATATTTAAAATATTAAAATATATTTTAAAATGTATTTTAATATATTAAAATATTAAAATATTAAAATGTTTTTAATATATTAAAATATTAAATATATTTTAATATGGAAATATATCAATATTTCAAAATATTTAATATATTAAATTATATTTTAAAATGTATTTTAATATATTAAAATATATTTTAAAATATTGAAATCTATTAAATATATTGAAATATACAATTGAAAAATAAATGCTTAGCTTCGTCATACTATGTGATATATTACAATGATAATATCAGCAAAAATGTGACATACATGAAATAATAATCAATAAAACTGTGTATATAAAATAATAAATATCAAAAATAATATATGGAGAAAATGAGATTATGCAATCTTTCGTCGAGAGGAGAGACTCGTGATGTTATTTGAAGTAGCTTTATAGATTTATTATTTTCCAGGTCATTAGGGATTAATTACACGGTATAGCATCCTTTAATCCTCTCAATAATGTGTTCTCCATCCACCATTTCTGCGATGGGATCTTTCTTTCTTCTCGACGGCCGCGCCTCGTATATTTTCACGACACGCGAATCCATCGAGATTTCTCGTTCCTTTCGCTTTTCGTTATTTTCGTCACGACACGATACGCGCGATTCTCGGATGAAGTAAACGAGATATTCAATCACAGTGCAAAAAAGACAAGTTCAATAAAAAAAAAAAAAAAAAAAACGCCATTTATTTATCGAAATTTCTCACTAAAGAGTTACAATCGTAAAATCTCGCGTTTGTCTCTCACAAATAAAAATATTATATGCAAATATTAATTTATGAAATTTTAATAATAATTTTCGAAATTCTTAGTAATAATTTTTTTTTTAATAATCACCAAAAAGTCGAAAAAAAAGAGAGAGAGAGAGAGAGAGAGAGAGAGAGAGAGAGAGAGAGAGAGAGAGAGAGAGAGAGAGAGAGAGAGAGAAATAAGTATAGAAATGTTTCACGCGACTATATATCTCGTTGCAATTTCAATGAGAGAGCACAGGGATGCAACCCTGTTGCATGTATATGATTTGAAGCTCGATTACGAGCGGCTTACCTTAATCGTCGATCCTCGAGGGCGAAGGGAACAACGGCTCCTTCCTGTCACTTCCCGGAGTCATCGAGTTCGAGGAGTCCGCGGGAACTCGAAAATCGCGCGCGCGCGCCTCTCTTGACGAGCGGAATCTACGAGGTGTCCGCGAAGTTCAGCCCGCAAGTCGTCCCCCATCGGGCTGTCATCCCTCTCCCGCTTGTTGGATCTCCCGACGATCTCCCTCCGGCGGAGGGGCGTAGCCGGGCACCTTAGAATAGCGATGCTATCATTATTGAAGGATATGTATATGTGCACTGCGTGCAATTAATTGGACGTTTTTTTTACCCCCGCCTTGGATTTATATGTTATTATATATTTTTTATATTTTATATATTTATTTTATATGTTATTGAGTATAGAGGAAATAAGTAATAATAATTTATATATTATTCTGCCGGAAATAATATATAAAGAATATATATAATCTTTTGTATATTAAAATTTAATTTATAATAATATAATAATATATAATATAATATAATTATATATTAATATATATTAATATTAAATAATTCATATATTATTATACAATAGATTTATATTTATTATATATTATTCTACCGGAAATAATAAATAACATATATAATAATTTGTATATTAAAATATAATTGATATATTAATATAGATATATTAATATTAAATATAAAAAAATCATATTATATATTATATATGTATACTTATTTATATTAATTATATATATTATTTTGTCGGAAATAATAAGATGTGATCCGTTTGATCTGTCATTGAGATATGTTACTGAAGAAAGAAAAAAAGTACGTCTGATTAAATATTTAGTTGTACTAAAAAAAGAAAGTGGGGCTGATCGTTGAGTTGTACTACTGAAATATCTCCGTACGCATTTATGGTTGACTTGTATCACTTAATTGAGTTTAATTAAAAGTATATGGTGGTACTATATGTTGAAATTAGTAAATAATTTATATATTATTATATATTTTTATTCTTCTGTCGGAAATAATAAAATATAATAAGTAATAATAAATATATTATTATATCGAAAATAATAAATAATATATATAATAATTTTGTATATTATTATATATAAATAATTTATCTATTATTATTTATTGCATATTTATCACAATATTATTTTGTCGAAAATAATAAGAGGAAAGGCGAGCCGTTTGATTTGTCATTGAGATATATTACTGCGAAGAAAGAGAAAAGATACTACCTCTGATTAATCGTACTCGAAAAAAAGTTTGTGTAATTTGATCCCTGAGTCGTACTACTGAAAGATGTCCATACGTATTTATGGTTGACTTGTATCACTTAATTGAGTTTGATTAACAGTATATCGTGGAAATTTATATTGAAATTAAATGATTTATATATTATTACCTATTTTTATGATTATATGTATTTCTCATGTATATTATTCCGTCAGAAATAATAAGTAATACTTTACATATATATTATTCTGTCGAAAATAACAAATAATATATATAATAAATTTATATATATAAAATTATACATTATATATTATTATAAAATTAATATAATTAAATAAAATATAATTATATTACCTATTATTATTGTTTATTTGTATATTTATTATATATATATTTTGTTGCAAATAATAATGAGAGGAAAGATTTATTTGTTTGATCTGTTATTGAGATATGTCACTGAAAAAGAAAAAAAAAAGTACGTCTAATCAAACCTTGACTTGTACTACTAAAAAAGAAAAGTTCGTACGATTCAATTATTGAGTTGTACTACTGAAAGATGTCCGTACGCATTTATGACAAACTCGTATCACTTAAAAAGTTAAGAATCTTCTCTCGACCGTACTGGCAAATATTATTTATTCAATCACAACGTTTCGACCCTTCTTTGAGTCCTTATCAAGTGATCTAAATATACACAGACAGAGATTAATACAATAAAAACAGAATTACTTCACTAACAATATTACAAAGTGATAAAAAGAAGCGAAACATATTTGTAAAAATAAAAATAAAATTATAATTTTAAGATGTCAAGAACGAACATAGTGTCGGTTTGACAACACGTCAAGACTCTTAGACGAGTTATTGGAGACTAAACGATCTTTATTATTTTGTCGTAGATATTACTTAGATTGTCAGTATCCTTTTGTAAATTAATAGCGTTATTATTTCTCTTAATAAAAAACATTTCAGCGATTTCTCTTTTTCTTACGTGTTTTTCACTATGCAAAATAACAGGCGAAGTCCAGTCAAAATCGTGATCGAATTCAATTTTATGTTTACTGATAACTGATAAATTACTCGAATGCATTTTGATGTTGCTGAAATGTTCCTTTACACGTGTAAAAAGATGTCTCTTTGTTTGTCCGATGTATGACACGTTGCAATCCTTACAATTAATTTTGTAAACTACTTCAGTTTTTATCTGTAGGCAGTCTATCCTTGCCGAGTGTAATTAAATGAGTTTTTTTAGGAACATTATGAACAACGTTAAATCCGATATTTTTAAAAATTCGATCGATATCGCCTAAGCTATTAACATAAAGGTAGTGAAATGAAAGGAGACTTATCAACGTTTCTCAATAGCGCGTAAAACCAATTCTTTTGGAATGTTAGTGTATAGGGCGGTCACATCTAAAGAAATCAAAGTATTATTGTCGTCAATGATTGTATCTTTAAATTTGCGGAAAATGTCCAGCCGTCCTTAACGTAAGATTTTGGTAACAAAATAGAACTACGTAAAATATTATGAATACATTTAGCAACATTATATACTGGACTACCTGATAAAGATGCAATGATGCGTAGAGGAAATTCTTTTTTGTGAACCTTTGGCAGACCATAACAACGTGGTAAATTACCATTAGTGATATTTAATGACTTATATGTAGAATCAAATCGTTATCAAATATAAAGTTATTGATCAAAAGTTTTTGTAAGTGGATTCGTCATTCAATAACGATTCCATTTTCTCCAATAATCATTTTTACTCATTACTACGGTGATCTGACCCTTATCAGCTTTGGTGACAAAAATATCTTCATTATCCCGTAGAAATTTTTACAAAGGGAAAAACCTTGTAAGATGTGTCTGTCAGAAGAAGAAATGTGTTTATTTTCACATAAAAACTTTTTGAGAGAATCAGCTACTGAAATTCTGGTGGTTTCTAGTACGTCACTCGTATCACTTAATTGATTTTGATTAAAAGTAAATGGTGATAATTTTTATTAAAATTAGTATAATTATTAAAAAGATACATTTGATAAAGAGATATACTAAAGAATAAAAGAAGTATATATTACTTACAATCAATGTTGACTTGTACTACTGAAAAATTATACTCGCAGTATTGCAGCGTTGCTACCAATGTCAAACCAGAAATCTTTTTTGCTTCTGTTTTTCTTTTTTCCACTACGTTAGAAGATTTAAGCTTTCATACTTTCCAACTCTTCCATATTTCTTAAGAGCAACGCGCAATTTTATTCTTCAGAGGAGCACGAAGTTCGAATCATGTCGACCATCGACGCGCTACCCGTCGAAACAGTCACGTGAGTCACGTGCCTCGTCACATGGTCGCGCGCGCATACGTCATCGGCGCACGCGCGCTCCGCGATGTATGCGCGCGACTCGCGACTCGCGACGTCGAACAGTCAAGCGCACGAGAGCGCTTGGAGATGTAGGTTGGGAGTGTTGCCGAACTCTGCAGGACGCCGGAAAATATGCGGAGCATCTGATTACGAGAAATAACGTTTCGTCATCAATAACTGAGCATCTGTTAGGTGATCGGGGAACAATTGAGAGGCAACTAATTTACAATTAAGCGGTATTCCACAATTAAATGTATTTTTTGCTCTTGCTCTTCTTGGAATAAATATGTAATTATTAATTATCATTAATTATTATTGTTAATTAATATATTAATAAGTAAAGGAAACGTGTCATTTATTTTTTATATCGATTATAAATTGAATAGATCAATTTATTTTTTTTGCAGGGATGTATGAGCTTCCTTGAATTTTATATAATCTGAGATTTATTCAACGCAAGACAAATACTTTACAGATGCAACATGCATTGGCTCAAGATCTCTTGTATTCTCTGCATGTTCGGGTGCTTCAAGGAATTTCGACCCTCTGAATCCTTCGTGACGGATTATCTGACTGGTCCATGGAAAAATTTCACAGCTGAACAAGTTAGTTTCTGAAATATTCAGAGTGCGATATTAAGCATTCACTTGATTTAATTCATTAAATAATATTAATGATATATCTTTCAGGTGAATCAAGAAATTTATCCTGTTTCCACGTACAGTTACTTAGCCACTTTGATATTCGTGTTCCTGATCACAGACTTTGCTCGATACAAGCCTATCATCATACTCTGCGGTCTATCTGGCACTGTCACCTTCCTTATGATAATCCTCGGCAGAACTGTGCTGGTGTTTCAGATTCTCGAGTTTTTTTACGGCCTATATTTCTCTACAGAGGTTGCTTACTACACTTACATATATGCCAAAGTAGATAAGACGCACTATCAGGAAGTGACAAGTCACACTAAAGCTGCCGCACTGTTTGGTCGCAGCATGTCAGGCGTCATAGCACAATTAACGGCCTCCTTCGATCTACTGAACTATCACCAGCTCAATTATCTCACTGTTTCAGGTATCTACATATGTACATATATAACATAAGCAGGGAATTGTGCAGAGAAAAGTTTTACGTACACATGTAAAAGAAGCATTCAGAGTTTCTACAATTGCAACACATTTAATCATGATAATTTAATAATTAAATTAATGTAATTTTCATAAATTTTTATACATGTAGTGATTGTATATATTTTGTAAAGAGTTTTGTTATTTTTGTATTTTTGTGGAATGAAAGATGTGAGAGGTTTGGGTACGCTGCTCTAAAAAGCGCCTTCAATCCCCGAATAAAGTATCTATTTATACATGTAGTGATAATTATATATAGAGTGTCTGATTTATATGAATATAACGTCTACTATTGTTATTAAAATTTGTATTATTATTTATTATTATCTATTATTACTTATGGTGATGTAAATACTTTCAGCCAATGTCTGCGCGACGATATGGGCGTTTTTCTTACCTTCCGTGAAGCAGTCGATGTACTTCCATCGCAGCAGCATTTCCGACGACGAGCCAGGCAAGGGACCATTCGATTATCAGTTGACCGAGTCAACGAAGTGTCGTTGCTTCAGAGTGTGGGGAATGCGTCTGCTTCGTAAGATCAAGAATGCTTATGTCTTGCTGTGGAAACACTTCTTGCAGGCCTATACGAATTATCGGGTGACCAAGTGGTCGATCTGGTGGGCTCTGGCTACCTGTGGCTACCTGCAAATCATTAGTTACATACAACTGTTGTGGCAAACGGCGGTGGAGCCGGGTGACATGATTTATAACGGCGCGGTGGATTTTTTCTACGCGATCATAGGTGAGGGAGAGAGCAGACTCCGAGAGTCTATTCTATTTAAATTATTCGAAATAGGATCAAGAAATTAGGAATTGTAATTCGGAACAATTAATTGGCCCCCCGTTAATTGAGCCCAGCGTAAATTGCACAAGGGAATTAAATTGTAAGGCAAATTGTAGAATATGCGAGCAAATGTCATGCGATTCGCGTAATATGAATATTATCGCTACTATTATTATATTGTCGTTAATGTTATCTCGAGTGACATGACTAATTTTGTCTTTTCAATCTAGATATCTGCGCGAGATAAGTATAATAGAGGCTATTGATAATGACAGCATTAAAGTAATCAACATATTCGACAGATTCCTTCAATTAAGTATTAAGAACGAATTCAGAATTATAAACATTTATCTAGCTAGATAGGAATATATATAGTTCTAAATAAAAATAGATATGTTTGTGCATTAATAACTTGCATAAAATATTTCATTAGAGAAAGATGTTTTATTTTTAAATTATCATTTTAAACAGTTTTCAATAATTAATAATTAAATTAAAAAAATAATTATCTATATATGTATATAAATATATGTATATATGTATATATATATATATAATATAAATCGGTAAAGTGACTTTTTATCTATGAATTTGCTCTGTCGAAATAAAGAATTTGCTCTTTATCAAAATAAGATGAGAAGGTGCGATTAAATTAAAGTTTATAAATTTTTCTTTTCTGAATTTTATTCTACATACTTTTTTGTTCGTTTTCACAGGTGCGGGAACCGTATTTTGCGTAGGGAAGGCGAAGTTAAACTGGAGCCTGTTAGGGGATATGACACTGTCCATATTTTCGCTCCTGGAAGGCATCATATTGATAGTCGCTTCTTACAACTACAACATCTGGCTGCTGTACAGCATCTACATCATATTCGGCGTCATCTATCACACCATGGTTACCGTTGCAAAGTAAATTTACACTTCGAAAAATTTTTATTCCGAATAAAATCTTCGAGGAAGTAAGGAAGTATGAGAATTTTGCTGCTCCTTTCAGCTTCGAGGTCGCCAAGGACATATCCGAGGACAGTTACGGCCTGATATTTGGAGTGAACACCTTTTTTGCATTATTGGCGCAGAGTCTCCTGACGTTCGTAGTTGTCAACAAGCTCACGCTGGATATTCGGCAGCAGGTGAGAAAGAAGAAGAGTTACGCGCTTCCTCGAATAATGCGAGTCTGCATTTTTGCAAAAACATTTTTTCCTCTTGTTTCTTCCAGTTCTTCGTCTATGGGAGCTACTTTGTCGTCCTGGCTGTGATATACGTGCTGATGGGCGTCGTAAATCTCGTGCAACATTATCGCAGCGGCGAGGCCTTCCGACTCTTCCAGACCGGCGACGACGATAAGTCTCTATCGGCGACGCAAAACGCGAGCGACGCGAGCACGTCATCCAAGTCCGAGCACAATGGTAGTTGAGAATAATCGCACCTTAGCACCGACAATTATAATCGGTAATTTAAGTCATGTAGTATTTTTTATACAAGTCTCAAGTAGCAATCTGACGTCATTTTGACGTTTAATGAAAAAAAAAAACTGCCATTGTGACGTCTAACAGGGTATATACTCTCTGGAAAAACCTGGAATTCTCAGGGAATTTTTTTCTACCTTGAAAAATTCTGAAATACTCATAGAATTTATTCTAAACTCGGGAAATTTTTGAAAAGTTGCTCTTTTGATTTTATTTTCAAATATACCTTTAAAGAATATAAAATTGATTAAGTTTATATAAATATTAAAATATATTTTATTATATAAAATATAATATTATGTTATATTAAAAAATATTTTATTTATGTTAAAAAATTATGTATAACAAAAATATACTTTTTTAAAATTGTATTTAACAATTTTTTTAAATACTTTAATTTTACTTGGAATTTTGAACAAAAGTACACCTGGAAAATCATAAAATTTATTTATAAGATTTGAGTAGATCCTGTCTAATGACGTCACTCGACGTCAAAATTGACGTATGCTTGCTATCTGGGATAGTTGTTGATTTGTTGAATGATTTTAGTCGCGTTTGCGATGGTAGATTTTTTGTAAAATATTTTCATCATCCATATAGTCGCTGGTTCTTTTTTCTCGCGATGCATCGTTGTTCCTGTTGAATTTTAGATAGATATATTTTATTATTGCACACATTGTATACATATATACATGCAGTATTAAGTCGTTTTATAGGTATTTTTGAATGGGAGATTCAAAGGGAGAATAATTAGTTTCAATTACAATTTTATCCGAGGAAGAAAAAACAACGAGAGCCTTGACGTGTCAATTTAGTGGTATTATTACTTTCTAACGAGAGACGAATGGACTGTGATTTATGCGATTTATCTGATTGCATATAAACGAGCTTCTCGTATAAAAGAAGGAGAAATAATAATCGCAAGCATCTCTGTTTTTAAAAAATTGTCATCTGAATAGATAGTAGTGATTGCGGTTTTGTATATATATATAATGTTGAATAAAAATCTGACTTGAATAAAATGTTCCTGCAACTTGCGATTATTTTCACGATTTTATTTATTTTCTCGATGAAGATAATAGTTTTTGCACAATCGAGCTATTGTTTCATATCGGGACACTTGTACGTTTTATCAAGTTTGTAATCTCCAGATCAGATAACAAAAGAGATTCGTGCGCGTGTTCTCTAATTAAAATTTATTTTCATCGAGCTTTAGATTTCGCTAATATCAACAATCTGTGATTTAATTCTATTAATAGGTGTTTATAAATTGACAAACATACTTTTTGATTTTACAGTGATTTTATATTAATTTTTATCGTATCAAATTTATTAATTGAATTGTTTTTTATCGATTAAATTAAATTGACAGATTTTAGAGGAAAAATCGAATTTTTTTACATCGTTCAATAACTAATAAAATTATTTAATTCTTTAAAATTACTAAATTTTGTTTAAATTAATAAAATTATAAAATTATTAAATTTGATAAAATTGTTATCGTATTAAATTTATTAAGTAAACTTTTGTTGTACCAAATTCTCATTAAAAATCGTGTCTTTGTTTAGAGTGTATTTTTTTCCAACGTGAAAACTGCGGTCCATCAAGTAGATGATTCGACTGGGACTTTCCAGTATTTGCTTTCCTGCTGAAAGTGTGTAGGTACGTGTGTATGTACGTGTGTGTAAACACGTATGATTACAAAGATACTTATATAGATACGACATTATGCTAATTTGCATTATTATGCACATTAAAGCGAAGAAATCTCTTGTTGTAAAGAGAAAAAGTGATCAAAAAATTAATTATCGCGTCAAAATATTATTTCATGCAGATTTTACATATTGAATAGCATTCAATTAATAAAGGCGCAAAGAAGAAGAAGAATTGTTAGTATTCTATCATAAAAAGTTATTCGCAAGACATTATAAAAAAAATTTCCTGATAAATCGATGCACGCATGATTGCAATTTTATCTTAAAATTTATCTTGAGATAGAATTAGAGAACATTATGCTCGATTTATAAATAAAATTGCGTTCTTTATAATTTAATGCAGTCCACTATTTAATTTGAATAAAGTGCCAATAATTTTTTTTTTTGATCATTTTTCTCTCCGTTAAATCAAGAATTCAATCTTTAATAATATAAATTAATTCTTTTTACTAGAATAAATTATTCATAATGTATTTATAGATGCTGTAATTATTTTTTAAATTTATTTAATTTTTGTAAATTATTATTGCGTAAGAATTTAATTTAATCTAATTTCAAAGTTTATTGTATATTTTGTCAAATATCTCTCTCTCTCTTTTTTTCTATTATAGAAAAAAAACTAATTCAATTAAATCAAATCTAATTTTTCTCTATTAATATACAATGTCCTGTCCATTAATATTAATTTTTCATAAATAATTTATATTGCGTTAGAAATTTTTTTCTTAAAAAAGCATTTACAGTTTGTTGGAAATCTTGTTGTAGCGATAATGAAATATTAGTTACAGATTGATAGGGTTAGGACTGGATTAGGATTATTAATTCTGAATTGAACAAATAAATTATAAGTTCGATTAATATCACTTTTGAGATCGTGCTCTTGCTTAATTACTCAACGCAATTAGAATGTAACATCACGTACGTGGATTTTTTATTTTTTTTTAACATTGTATGGATTGATAGGTATAGCTATAAATCTCGAATAATTATTTTAAAGTTTCGTTATTATTGCAGAGAAAAAGAGGGAGAGAGACGTGTAATTTAATTACAATAAAGACGACTATAATTATAAAATATATAATTGTCACATTACAATTAATTATCACATAGAAAAAGATTTTGATTTATAATAATTATAATTTTATATATAAATTGACAAAATATGCTGTTACAAATTTTTATAATTATAATTATATAAATTACAATTATAACCATATTTAAATTATAATTATAAATATATAAAATTATATGAATAATTTATATAATATTTAATTCATATATTAATTTACATAATGAATTCTTATTGCAGTAATTTTTATCTACGCATAAACAGCAATAAAAGCACTTTACGATTCTTCTGACATCATAATCTAATAACGTAACTGCGACGAAGAGGTCAGGAGCCTCAAGCATAACAATTAATTGCGCGAAACACTTGAGCTACTTGATCTGTCAATTTCGATTTATCCTTTTAAAATAGATGGAGAAATATGCGAGCGAGAAGTGTACTTGATGTTAGAATTGAGATAAGGGATTTATTAGATTGATTTCGCGCGAATATTTTTATAGATAGAATGCTCTTAGAATGGAATATTTAAAGTAAGGCTATAATGCATTTTTTTAAGACAAAATTGTCTTCTTTTAAAAATAGAAGAATAATATAAGGTCGTATATTGTAAGATTATTGACAGACGACAGGGATTTTCTGGTAATAAAAGTCGACGATTACGACTGGGCATTTCCAGAGAGGAAATAATGGAGTGGACCCCGTGAGAAACGTTTATGTACATAAATTTTGTTCAGGGTCGAATCGAAAAGGGAAGTTTCGACTGAAATAAAAATCAGGAGAATTTTTACAAAAGATGTAAATTGGTTTTTAAATCTTAGCAATTATATTTTGTTAAGTACATACATATAATGTAATAAAAATTAATAATAATGATTAATTAATATATAAATAATAAATTAATAATAAATTTATATTATTTAAGAATTTATCAAAAGTACATTATGTATATTTATTAAAATTAAAAATGTAATATATAAAATTATATAGAATTTAAAAAAAATATATATTTTTCTAAAACAAAGATTTTTTTTGTATAGACGTTGCTTAAAAATACGATGAAAATTGAGAAAAATTTTAAGAAAAATAATTTTTATTATATCTTATAATATAAAACTTTATTTTTAAAGTATAATTATTGTGATAATAATTATTGTACTAATATTTTCGTGCGAAACTATGAATTCTATAAAAGATATTTTGATAGTTCAGTTAGAGAGAAATTTTAACGTAGATATCTATAATTAATTCTTTTCGAGCAAAATTATTCTTCTTCTTGTTAAAGTTTAACTTTTTTGATACTAATTTTTTTAATTAAGAACGACAATTTTCATTATTATACTAAAAGCATTCTTTTGTTTTATTTCTTGAGGAAAGAAACAAAAAAATATTTTTTGAAATTAATTCAAGTAAATTTTTTTTTTAATTTTTATTATTATATCAATCTTATTTTACACAATATCTTACATTTAGATTGAATTTTATCGAAATCAATGTATTTTTTTAGGATTGTGCCTCAATTTAACAAATTTTTTAATCTTCTGAATTCTTTAGGGTCGTGTTTTCTTTTAATTTCTTAAATCTTCTAAATTTTTTTTAGGATGTCATTTTTTAAACTTCTTAAATCTTCTAAATTTCTTTTTATTATTATATTAATTTTATTTCACGCATATTTTACACTTAGATTGAATTCTCTCGAAATTAATCCTCCTTTAGGATCATGCTTTCTCTAAAAATTTCTCAAATCTGCTAAATTTCTTTATGATCGTGCTTTTTTTTAAATTTCTGAAATCTTCTAAATTTTTTTTTGAAGATCATACTTTTTCAAAAATTTCTCAAAGTCTCTAAATTTCTTTCTGTTACTATACTAATTCGATTATCTCAATATCTCACATTTCAATTGAATTCCATCGAAATCGAGTCTCTTTTAGAATGGCTCCTTTTTTAAATAAATAATTCTGAAAAATAAGATTAGTTTATTATATATAGAATATTATTTAGTTATATATAGTTATATAGTTATATAATAGTATATAGTTATATAGTTATATGGTATAATAGCATATAGTTATATAGTTATATAATAGTTATATAATATATAGTTTATATATATATAGAAATTCAGAAGATTAAAAAATTTGTTAAATGGAGGCACAATCCTAAAAAAAATACATTGATTTTGATAAAATTCAATCTAAATGTAAGATATTGTGTAAAATAAGATTGATATAATAATGAAAATTAAAAAAAAAACAGATTCAACTTGGAAAGAACTTTTCTGGCTTCTCGATTCGATCCGATCCTGGATGCTTGTTGTGTACGTCGTGACGTTCTCCAAACGTGACGAAGTGGGAAAAGAAGAAGTGGGGCCAGGCATTCACTTCTCTTCGTGGTCGCTCGCGGCCTTCAGTCCTGCCTCTTCTTCATCGCCGAACGGATCGCGCCGCGATCGAATCGATCGACTATTATCGAACGTCGCCGTCGAACTCCCGATTTCCCTGGAATTCCGAGAAAGTGCCCAACTATGTCGATCCTCACGGTGAGTGCCATTGTCTCTCTTATTCACGTTTCTTTTCGTTCGTCCGTTTAATTTATGCCTTTTCCACTATTGGTCCCGGTTAACAATAAATTTGTATCTCGATTTTTGCGACCGGGATTTTTTCTCGTTTCCCGTTTCGGTGGAAATTGCCTTTTATTATAAAGACGTCAATGCATGGTTGCTTTCCTTCAAGACATGACCTCTTGGCTGCTGTCAGAAGTTCAACCGCGATAATTCTTATCGAGAGACGGAGAATGAATGTTTTTGTCTCTTTGTGAATTAATTTCTGTACTTATGGAATTTATTTATCTCATGTTTGAAAAAGAGATTTTTAATTTTTAAAATACTTGTTTATCATTTCTAAATTTTTAGAAGTATTTAAATGTATATATTAATATATAAATATTTAGAAATATATAAATAAATCTCTCTCATCTGTCTTAAAACTTCTTTCAGTCACTTATTTGTAAAGCTTGTAATTTTTCAATATATATATATATATATAGAAATAATTAATATTAATTATTTAATCAAGTAAATTTTATTATAATTATTAAAATTAATGTTATAATTATGACTATTATTAATATTAATAATATTATTATTATTATTATTAATAGTATTCTCTTATTATTATTATTATTAATATTATTATTTATATTTTTATTGATTTTTTTTCCTCTATTTTAATACATTTTTTTTATAATTTTCTTTAATTTATTTTTTATTATATTTAATATAAACAAATGTTAAATCTGTTAAGTGTCGCAAATATTTCGCGTAAAATAGATCCGGTAAATGAAGCTTCGTGACAATATATAATCGTAGGATATATCCGGCAGAAAAAAAATATTCTCGTAACTAAACAATCGTCATCGCCGATCATTTCTATCTCTATCTTTATCTGGAGCGATGTCATCGGAATTTTTATGTAATAATGACGATATATATGAGACACACGACGCATTATTAATGCCATATTGCTTTTATTGCGACACGACGGATTTTATTATGAACAACACGTGACGATATGATTAGAGGACGGGATCCATCATCACATCTGTCCGCGAATATATGTTGTCAATGTATATGTGTGTTAACGCTAAACGTCAATTTCACTGTCAACCTGAGTTAATAATACAAGTTTCAGCTCGTTAACCGCAATTCCTCCCATTATCGCGGCTTTTAACGAGTTAATCAGACGAATTACATTTACAGAGTCACTTTACAAAATTTTCGAGACGTTTGTGTTCGAGAGAGAGAGGACAACTGTCGCACGATTTTTCCCGGAATTCCCCATTCATAAGTTCTTAGTCACGAACGATTATTATCTCGGTGCTGTTTTAATCGCTCATAAAAAAAAAGAGAAAAAGAGGAAACAGAGTCGCTTCATTCACTTCCAAGAATAAAACCAGGGCAAAGACTAACTCTTCGAGAGTATCAGCTTGTCGTGGATTGTGTACACGACACGTGATCGACATGTAAATAGGATGATGTAGGACACGTGCGAAGAATTTATTAGCGGTTCCCGCATTAATTTCATTCGATATCGTAAACAAAATTTCGAATTTTATTTTCAAACAGTTCTTTTGTTAAAATTCAGTTCACAATTTTTTATTTTATTTTATATTATTAAGAATATTATATATAATGTATATTTATTTCTTCATTTTAATTTCGATTTTTTTGCACTAGGTTTTGTTTTAATTCACATAAATAACTTAATTTTAATTATTATATTCTTATTTTTAATTTTAATTTTAATTTATGCTCGCTATTTAAGAAATATACACATAAGTGTTATATTTTACAAGTTGAATAAACATATATGATTCATATGAATCATTATGATAATTGATCATAATTTATTACATGTCTACAAGAGTATCACTTATAATTATAAATAATAAGAATAATATAATAATAATATAATAATAATAAAAATTATAAAATTATGATAATAATAATAATAATATAAAAATACTTATAATCTCAATAATTTTGATAATAATTATGTTCAAAAAAAATATCACATATGATTGTACAGCTTCTGAAAAAAAAAAATTATGAAATCTGAAAGTGACTTGGCATCATTTATTGCAATGATAAGCAATGAGCTGAGAAACACATATAAAGAACTGTAAATAAACAAACAAATATACAAAAATGAGTGTCATTTAATTGCGAAATATTTCAATAGCTTATAAAGAGTTTATAATTTATATTAACTTTTATTATAATTTCATAATTTAGATTTCATCTGAATTTGAATTGTCATTGGAATTTCAATCTTGTCTGATTTCAATTTCGATTTCATCATGGTCGTTTCAATTCTAATTTTAATTTCGAGTGATGTAGATTTTTATCTCAATATTCAATCTTAAATTTTTCATTCTCTTTATTAAGGAAGAAAAAATTTTTTTTTGCGCTGGCCTCGTTGATGGTAGACATCATTAGAAATTACGCTACATACATACGGTTGTGTCCATTATTGTCTTTTTCCGTCGAAGATGGAAACTTCGACGTGTCGTGCCTGGATGATTCTGTACCTACTCGTTCCCTTCGTCACGCGTTAATTTCAATCAAGAAAGCCGGATGCCCTATGATGTCATACGGTGCTCAGGCTACTTTCTCTCGTTCCTAGCCCTCGATTTCCGATCCGGCTGTAATTTCTCTGTATTACAGGATCGCCCTGAGGAAGGAAGTTGCGAAGAGATCTGTTCAGTTGCGTCACTTCTGCGCACTGAAAAAAGATGATTAATAATTAATCAATTAAAAAATTAATAAAGAAATATTTATTAATATTAATAAATTAAAAAATTAATAAAGAAATATTGATTAATAAATTAATAATGTTTTATTTTAATACTGCTGCTTTATTGTCAAATCATTTATTTGAGACAAATAAATATTTATCTGTTTTGAAATGGATTTCTTATATAAATAAATATTTTAGTTGTTTTTATTTATATTAGTTTCAAATAAATAATTTATAAGGCATATTGAAATATTTATTCGAATTCATTAATTTTTTCAGTGTGGCATAATAGAGATCCTGAAATACATATCGTGCGCCAGATGAATAATGAATACGCAATCGTGTGAAGAAAAAAATAGAGATGTACAGGATGTGAATTTTAATTAATATAATCGATTATTGCTGAAACTGGCTGACGAGAAATATTTCATACAAAAATTAAAAATTTTTGAAGGGGAGAAAACTTGACAATTTCTTGAATTTTAATTAGGATTGTTTTCGAAGGTCACCCTAGTTTCTTTTTTATATAAATCGATCCCTCACAATATTTTTGGCATACAATGTCATAAGGGTAGGTTGATTAAAGAATGAATAGTTTACAAGAGATATTTTGTACTTTAATGCGTGACACACAATCTAACATTTATTATAATTATAATATATTATAAGTTTATTAAATTATAATATAAATATAATATAAAAAAATTATAAATGAAATTATAATATAATATAAAATAAGTAAAAAATATATATTAAATTATACTATATCTAGTAAATATCTGGTATAAATATATTAATATATTAGGAATATATTTCTTATAAAATATATATATTTGGTAAAATATTCATTTTCTAATGATCTTACTTTGATATTCTTGTGCACAAAATAATAAGAAGAATCAATGAAGAAAGCACACATTGTTTTAAAAAAAAATATATAGCTGCCAGTTTGCAAATTATATGTATTTAAATAAAAAAATTTTATGCAGCTAGTCACGATCAGTTTTTCGATAAGATGATTATAGGTCATATAATCTAGAAACTCGCATAAATTAGAGGCTATTTTGCTACGTGAAAAATTGCGTTGAAATATATCAAAACAAACCAAATTATATGTATCTACGGTCCACATTTCTTCCCAGGCTGTCTCGTGTTTTGCATGAAACATGTGATTCTTCATCCGCTTTCTCCGCCGAGCGAGAAAGTTTTTTTCTCTCGTTTGCGAATACTCGAACGAGAGAATGATGTCAGCGTCTTTATTCGCGGGGACATCTTCAATGTTTTAACAACAGACAAAAACTCGACAATACATAGCTGTCAAATAAAAAATTAATTGCGAAAAATCGAAAAATCAATATTTTTAATTTATATTTTTATTTCTGATTTTTCTTCATTCATTTTAAAATACATTTTTTAATGTTATATATATTGCAAGTTGTTAAAGTATCGTTTGCTATTTATTATTAAAATTTTTTAATTAATATATAAATATTCAAATAATAGATTCAAATTGAAATAGATAGTTGTTCGAAACCATATTTTTATTATGTCATAATATAATAAAAATGGGTTAAAATTATGTCAAAACTTAATTGAGTGGTCAATAAAAATTATGCTATGACATGAACAGAAAATTAAAAATTATAATTACATGCTACTGTCATTTTAATCCTAGATTTCTATTATGTACATAATTTTAATTCCTTAATTTTTTTATACACAATTTTAATTCTTTAATTTTTATTATGTACATATAATAAAGATTGAAGTTTAATTCTTAAATTACAATTATGTATATAATTTTAATTATCAAAAATTTGTATGTTTTAACATAAAATAAATTACAAATTAATATTTTATTTAAACCATAATCTTACTTCTGCGTTTTTAATTATATGATAGTTTAATAATAATAATTTGACGAATTATAAATATGTCTAGACATGTGTGTGTTTAATAATAATTTTTTCTTTTAATTTAATTTAATAGAATTTTTATGATGAGTATTAAATGTAGCAAAATGACATGCCACAGGATTAAAATTTCGCGAAATATATTTTATATAATTAATTGTTATTATACAATATTTTAATATTCTAATTAAAATAAAATCCTACACAATGAAAGTATTGATAATAATAAATGGGGAGCGCTGTCCGGCAACTAATTTTTGCTGTTTTATGCCTTGACATCGATTCCGCACGCAAATATACATACATAATTAATTCAAGCACGAATCTTTTGATACATGCTTTTAATCTCATTTTTATTACTTCTGTATTATTCTTTCATGTCATTTTTATTGGGAGCGCCATATTTTGTGCACAAATAAACTGCAGAACTTTTGTATTAAATAAATATTGTTATGAGCTGATGCAAGAGGCCGATAAAAAATTGTAATTTTAAAATTTAAAATTTTTATTAGTTTTTTTTTTATACGAAATTTCAGCGCTCCCCGTTATTATCAATACTTTAATTGTGGAGAAGGATTTTTCAATCTGTATAGCCAATAAAAAGAAAAGTTCTTGAACTCAAAGTCGGTAAAACAGTCATGGTCAGTATTCTGTTAATTGTCATTTTTTAATATTTTTTCTCTCATTTTTCAGGCATACTGCCGCTGTCGCTGGCGATCGGGATGATTTCAGCGCAATGTCTAACGGGGAATGACGCTCCCGCGCAGATGGACCCGACGTCCAAGGTATCGTTGACAGGTGCTCGCTTCGATTTCGCGCTCGACAGCCTGAAGAGGGCCGCGCTGATCGAGTCGAAGGACAACGTCTTCTTTAGCCCGCACAGTATTCATCAGGCCCTCAGCCTCGCTTATTTCGGTGCCCGCGGCACTACTGAAGAGGCCCTGAAACGGGCCCTTCGAATTCCCGATCAGCTGTCCAAGATCGACGTGCAGCGTTACTACGCCTTCGAGAGGTCGCTCAATCAGATGCGTGCTCAGGTGAGCGATTCCTATCGTCATCTGTCAGATTACGTAACTCGCGTGATTTACTTCGTCGAAGGTATGTCAAGGTGAATCGCGCGAGATTTATCGTTACATCGACATCTCCGGATCCCAAGGTTCTAAATATGATATTTAATATGCGCAGGAGGCCTTGGACGATTTTAAGATCGCCTCGATTGCACGCGAAATGTTAGAGCTTCAATTGAATGAGATTTTTGCTCAACTCTTCTGTTATCGTGTCATTATTCATTTTTTTTCTCCATATATGGGTACTTAATTGCTGGGCATCAAACATTTTTTTCTTTGTTATATTTTTGAATACGAGATATTTTTTAATATTATATTTTTTAAATATTATTTTATATTTAAAATTGCCTTGAGTATCTGTTGATTGAGAAGGATTAATATGAAGTATTAATTATCAGGGTTAGGCAAGTTAATTACGTTTTTTAAACTAAGTTAAGTTAAAGTTAATAGTATGTAAAATTAATTAGTTACGTTAAAAGTTGCATGAACAAAAAAACTAACTCACGTTAAGATTAACTTAACTAAAGTTAAATCAAAAGTTAATTTTTAAAAATATTATTTATATTAAATAAATTAAAATATAACTTTAAAATTTTTTAATTTAATGTTTTATTTGTTAATTTTTTTAAATTTATATAAAATAAACATAATTCAGGTTCTCATTGACAGAAAAATTAATATGAAGTATTAATGATGGATATTTAAATGTAAAATAAATAAGTAATTAAATAAATGAATACACATTTTAAGTGTAAAATAACTTGACAGTTTTAGGGAAAGTAACTTTTAGGCATTTTTACAAATTTATCAACTCTCGAAAATTAAAATAGACTTTGATTTAACTTATTATCTTGAGAACTAAAGACATCTTCTAATTAATTATGAAATACCTCAAGTGTGCGTGCCGTGATTTATAATTGGAGTTTTTGATTTTTCTCAGGCAAAAAAATTTTTCTCAAGAACAAACGTTTCTTGTTACAGATAAACGGGTCCACGGATTACGAATATAGGGTGGCCAACAGATTTTGGATCACGAACGTCAAGAAGCTGCGCGAGTGCATGTTCGATTTCTTCGAAGATCAGCTGCAAGTGACCGATTTCCGCGCGAATCCCGCCGAGGTGCGGATTCGCATCAATGACTGGGTCAGCAATATGACCAAAGGTCACATCCGTGACCTCTTGCCGCCCAATAGCATCACCGAGGACACTGACCTGGTTCTGGCGAACGCAGTTTACTTCAAGGGCCTCTGGGCCCAGCGTTTCGATCCCAAGAATTCCAAACGCGACATCTTCTACGCTTCCGGCACGCAAAACACCTACGCTACTTTTATGCGTCAGAAGGGAAGCTTTAATCACGGTAAGAAAATGCTTTATAATTAATAATTAATTTTTTAATTTGAGAATCTTAAACATTAATTTTTTTAGATTTTTTATTAGGTTGACTATAAGATCTTTGTTTTCCTTCAAGTATAATATCATAAATAAACATTTCGAATTTAATTAACTCGATCAAAATAAATAATTTATATAAATTCCGTTTATATAAAGAAATTTATCTGTATTATTAAGATTAATAATTTTTTAACTCTTCAATTATATATATATATATATATATATATATATATATATATATTTTTGATAGTTATCAGCTGATTTCTGTCAAAAATAATAATAAATTATAAGAGTTGATATAATAATGCAGTAAACAGTATGTTATAATACTTTAAACTCGATCGATATTTTTTGACAGTTATCAGCTGATTGCTGTCAAAAAATAAATAAATCTAATAAGCTGATGACTGATAGAGTTTAAACAATTTGAGTTCAAAATAAAAATTTATCTTTATATTAAAAAAAGTGCGACATCCCTAAATTGCTCAATCATTAACTTTTCAACCCCAAAATTGACACTTTTATATTCTATATATTTCAATCTAAATTCTTTTCCGAATATTTCCTAAATTTTTTTTCTTTCAGTCGTCTCGGAAGAGCTAGGCGCGTACGTTTTGGAGCTTCCTTACAAGGGCGACGAAGTGTCCATGTTCGTGCTGCTGCCGCCGTTCTCCACTGCGCGCACCCTCCTCCAGGATTCATCTTCGAGCGAACCACAGGACGGCATCCGCCAGCTGGTGGAGCGGCTGGCGACCGCAAAGGGCGGCCGGGAGTTGCGCCAGCTCCTGGACGACGGGATGCCGGCGCGCGAGGTCGAGGTCAGTCTGCCCCGCTTCGAGGTCGAGCGGGAGCTGCAGCTGAATCAGCTGCTGCACGCCCTGGGCGCCGGAGAGCTGTTGACCCCCGGAGCGGCCGATCTGCGCGGCTTCGTCGCCGAGGGCGAAGGAAGCCTCCACCTCGGTGACGCCGTCCATCGCGCCCGCGTCGAGGTTACCGAGGAGGGTACCACCGCGGCCGCGGCCACCGCCATCTTCACCTTCCGCTCCAGCAGGCCGACCGAGCCCGCCATCTTTAACGCCAATCATCCCTTCGTCTACCTGATCTACGACAAACGCGACCAAACCGTCCTCTTCACGGGCGTTTTTCGTTCACCCGCGCATGCCTTGACCCCTGCCGCGGTTTAATCCTTTTAAGGATGAATGACGGGTGCCCAAAAAGGTGTCAAAAACAACTGTCAAAATCTGTTCTCGCCTAATTTGAAATGTAATGGGGGTAATTATCAAGGACACTTTGAATAATGTTGCACAATGGTCCCATAGTGATATGTTATAGTATCTTTAAACTCGATTAATATTTTTGACAGTTATCAGCTGATTTCTGTCAAAAATATTATTCCAGTTTAAAGTATTGTAATATATATACTATTTTTATTTTAAAATTACCAAAAACCTGACCATATTGTGGTCCCATAGTGATATGTTATAGTATCTTTAAACTCGATTAATATTTTTGACAGTTATCAGCTGATTTCTGTCAAAAAATATTATTCGAGTTTAAAGTATTGTAATATATATATACTATTTTTATTTTAAAATTACCAAAAACCTGACCAAAATATGAAGGTGTTCTTCAACTTAAAAATGAAAAGTGATATATTAAGATTTCTTATTTCTGCACAATAACCCATGCAGTTGATATCCTGGATATCCATACATTGAAAAATGAAGAAATTATGAATTGATAGTAGAGGGTTAAATAGAGAGGTTCTTGAAAGATCGAAGTTAGAGATGACTCGGCAGAGAATTGTTGTGTCAAATCTTTTTTCTTATAGTCGACTGACTCAAATATGGGCTGAGGACTTTGTTTCATGTGTGACCAAGTGATTTTTATTAACGATCGGAGGAGATCGTTCGCACTTTGGAGATTTTGAAAAAATCGCTGGTTTTAGAATCTGCGAATTTTCGAGGTGAGAAGAGTCCTGTTGCGTGAATCTCATTAATTTATTCTTGCATTTAGATTTTATATTTTACAATATCCTACAATTATAGAATTACGAAGTATGATCAAAGAATACTCTGACTGATTCTGTAACTCCATCAACATAAGTAATAGGGACTCAGTTTTTTGTAGTAATATAATATTAATAATAAATTATCTCTACATGGCACACATACACAAAGAAAGTTTGTATTAATAACCAATAAAGTTTATTAATGGCAGAATTAGTCCAGATATTTTTTGATTATATGTTGTAGGTGAAAATGAGTGTAAAATCAAACAAAAATCTGTATAAAAGGTGTTATCAATATAATTTCCCGATCAGATAATGAACTTCGATGAAATCGAAGCTCGCACTTGTTGACTGAAACATTTATTCTACAAATGTTCCTTCCCTCGAACTCGAAGAAATTATATATACTACATTAAATGTATTTTAAACACTCAAAGAAAATGTAGAAATATCAATTACACTGTGGAGATTTATGTAATAAGAGGAAGAAAAAAAAATTATATACGTTTTAATTATTATATATGTATATTTTTTTCCTTTAACATATACAAACACACTTATTAATTTATTTTATATCAATATTGTTTTTTACGAACTGTACTATACGTATAATCAACGCAATAATACTTAACTTAGGATTGAATTGTTTCGCAATTATCAACACAGATCATTTCGTTATATTACTGTTTTATTAAATAAAATTAATCCAGAGTTATCGATAATCTTATTAAAGAATATTATTACAAATAAATATTAATTCTATTTAAAAATAGTGAGATTAAATCATATTCGATTCAATTTTCCGCGTAAAAATGATAACGTGCGCGTGCGTCACATAATATAAATAAATAAAAGCAGCGACTACATAATATCGAGACACAAATATAGATCAAGGAAGTTCGTCAAAGCTTTGCTATACAGCCAAAAATGGAGCAGGAGGATTTAGAGGAGATTGATGACTGATTTAGTAAGTCGAAAGATTTTTTACAAAATCAAATGATTTTGCTTTCGATTTCACAAACAGATATAATTAAGATATACAGTTTAATTTTATGCAAATAGTATATTTAAAAAAATTTGAGAATTTTATTTTCGATATATAGAATTATTTCAGAATAAATAAATGTCTTTATTGTTAAATATTAAATAAATAATTTCATCAATAATAATTTACTGATCTCACATTTTTCATTTATTTTACTTGTTAAAAATATGAAGAAAATACGTATAAACAAAGTTAAATTGTAGATATGTTAGTAAACATATGTAAGAATATATTTACAAATCTATTTCTTTATTACTTTTTCGATTATCATTATATGTATATTTTTATATGTATATTGATTTTATTTCGTTTTTAAAATAAAGAGATATAAACATGTATCTATACACATGCAAAATAATTGTTAAAAAAATTTCAACACGCTATATTTTATATTTAACATCTTTTTTATTACAGATGATATTGTTAGTATTGCTGTAATTAATTTATTAATTTTAATTATAATTAATTTAATTAATTACTGAATTGTAATCATTTATTTTTTCTATTTCCATAATATCTTTTGCATTGAATTTTTCTAATTCATCCTTTTTTTATTTGTCAGAGAAAATGTCGGAGGCTGTTTTCGAGTTTTCGATCAAATGTTTGCGTAAATATAAGGAAGATCAAGCCGACGAATTTTGTCTTCAGTCCGCTTATTAGCATTGTAAGATTTCCGCAAAACCTTCGTCACCGATGAGCATCGTTTTCAAGTGTGAAATCACCATCTTGGACTATATTATCACGAACATAAACCGTGTCAATAAAATAATAAAAAGTCAGACAGAAAATTGCATTCGTAGTCCGGTAAAATTAATCAGAAAAAATATGGATATTATTTTTATGACCGTATTACGTTTCAATATTTAAAAGAATCAGTCCATATAATGCATCAAGGAAATCGACAGTTTTTGATAGCCGAAAGTGTAAAAAAAATGTGAGTATGTCGCTTTTCTCGATTTCAACTGTTTTTATTCAGATAATTATCTTATCTTTTTAACAATCAAAATTTTTTTTCAATTAAACATTTTTTCCTAAGTTAGATTTTTTTATTTCTGCACCATCATTATTTTTTATAAGTTATAAAATTAAAAAAAAATTAAAATCAATTAATACATAATATTATAAATATATTAATAACAAAATATTAATTGTTAAAAACAATAATATAAAATAGTACTAATAATATCATATTTCGTATACATATATAGTATATACGCGTATAATAAGTATTACATATTTATAATTAATGTTTACATAAATATTGAGACAAAATAATACACATTATACAAGAGCTAATTTAATCATTAAATACATTTACAATATAATTAAAAATATAATACAATGTAATTAAAAATAATCAAGGAAATGAAAAATAAAATGAAGAAGTAGATATTAAATGTTCTTGTAAGTAACAAGTACTTTATGAATAAATAAGAAATAAACACTATAAATATATAAAAAATTATTTTAAATATTTATGCTATATTATTATTATCCATGTCAGTTTAAATAGACGTATTGAACTTCTCATTTATAAATTCTCATTTGAACAAATTGTGAAAAAAGCGTGACTGGACGAACACTTTATCAGACCGCGTTATTATCTTTTGTTCAATAATTGTCTTCTGTTTTATATCATCTTTATAATCTGAGAGTGGCATCTTGGTATTCACAAATTTCATTATCTAAAATAAATATTATTTTAATTTTGATTGTTCTATCAATCAAAAATTTTGTAATTAATTATCATGAAAAATAAGTTTTTCAAATGTAGTAAGCATAATTTATATCGATATACAAAATATTTCAGAAAGAAACAGAAAAATGCGTGTATTATTTACAATATATGATATGTAACTCATTGTAATAAAAATGAAGTATTATAGCAATAATTTTATAAAAAAAAATAAGTACAAAATTTACCTTGTCGAATAATTGTTCCTTAGAGTACGCATTATTAATAAGCACATTTAATATCACCTCTGTACTGATTTGACTATTCAAAAATAAAATATATATATGTATATATATATATACACAGGGTGTTCCAAAAAGAACGGATTACTTAAAAATCTTGAAAAATATACGTTTTACAGAAAAGGTTCAGACAAAAATTGTAGGGTTCAAAAAAATCTATTTATTGATCTTATCAGCTTGTCCTTGGGTGGCGTTATCAAGGTTAAAATAGGGACACCTTGAATTTTTTAAATAGAGCCCTATACTTTTTATTACATATTCTTATAGCTATCTCGAGAGCATTTCAAAACATTATAATTAAATTATTTTTTGTAAGGTATTTTCCGAGTTACAAAGCTTGAAAGTTATAGTTCTAAAAGGCTTGCCATAATTACAATTCTAAAAAATCTAAAAAATGAAGACGAATGGAAGAAAGAGTTCGTATGTAAGGATGTTACAACCATGATGTCGGCTGTTAGATAGTATAACTTTCAAGACTTGTAACTCGGAAAGTACCTTATAAAAATAATTTAATTATAGTGTTTTGAAAAGTTCTCGAGGTAAGCTACAAAAATATGTAATAAAAAATATAGGGTTCCATTTAATAAATTCAAGGTGACCTTATTCTGACCTTGGTAACGTCACCCAAGGTCAAACTGATAAGATCAATCAAAATATTTTTTTAGACCCTATAACTTTTGTCTAATCTTTTTTTTGTTATAAAACATATTCTTCAAGATTTGTAAGCAGGAGTCCGATCTTTTTGAGACACCCTGTTTAATTAAAACGTATATATAATAAGTCTTTTCGATTATGTGCAATATATTTGTATAAAATGTAAGTTGTTACCTGTGTTTTATATATACATAATTGTTCAATATAGCTTCAAGTACTGGAGTGTTCTTAGCATGTCTCGCAAGAGTAGAAAGGTACATATATGTAGTTAAAGTATAAACTTTACGCTCATTTTCATGTGCAAGCATTTTATGGTCATTATCTTTTAACATTTCCGTTTCAAATGCCGGTATTATATCCCAAAGTAAATTAAAGATAAGGTCAGGATTTTCAGAACAACTCAGGTATATCAATCTTTTATAATCGGATTTTTCCTTGTACATACTAGATGACATATTGTATATAATCATCCACATATCACGGTTCGCTGTCTTTAATCCATTACAATATGTCCATTCTTGCCATTCAGGCAAAATTCTATGACAAACGAAAAAGAAATTTTCTAGTTTTTGACATATCTATTATCGATATTTATTGTATCTTTACATTAATAAATATCCAGAAGATCCATATATTAGAAAATAGAAAAATATATGATTATGTCACAAGTAGCAAACTGACGTCATTAAACGTGAAAATGACATCATTCTGACGTCTAATAACGTCATTCAACATGACTTCAAAATGACGTCATTTTGCTACTTGGGATGTAGATATAATAATTGTATATCCGCAAATGTTTTCTTTCATTGTATAATCTTTGTTCGCACGTATTTAAATAATAAAAAGAATAATAATTCTAAGAATTATTTTTTGGCCTACATTTTTTTGAAAAAAAAATTTCATTTTTTTATTTATGAATTTTTAAAATTGTCAATTCTGTCGATTTTATTTAATTGAATATATTAAAAAATCTAAGAAAAATTCTAATATACAGAGTGTACTAAATAAATAAATACGATGCACAGCCTAGTTGCAGAACAACAAACTAAATCGAAAAGTCTTGAGCTATTTTTTTTATCTAAGTTTTCTTTTTGACACTATAAATTGTTATGAACAATTTTCTTTTATTTCTTAAAAATTTATTTTATGCTGAAAAAACTATTTAGCGATTATTCTTAAATTTTTCCTTAGCTTTTTATTTATTTTTTATATTTTTTTTCTCCATATACAAATAAAAATTATATTAATAAAACGAGAAAAACATATATGACATATTTTATATAAAATGCAATAATAAGATATCTATATATCTGATTTTACATTATTTTCTTTATCGTAATATATCTAAAATATGTGCACGAGATAAGAAAATATATACACAGAAATAATTATGATTAAAAGAAAACTTACTTATTTAATGTAGAATTTTTTACATACAATTCCAATTTTTTTTTGGCCATTTTTAGGCAAAACTCATTATTGATAACACATCCCCATTTTCTGAGCTCCTGTTTTAAATACTTATTAAAATTGTCATCGACGAGTTTCATTTGATTGTGTATATCCTCGTATTTAAATAAATATATATATGCATCCTCCATCATGTATTCTAACATCCTTTCTAATTTCACCATTACTTTCTACAATTTAAAAAATATATTTTTCTATTCGATCATTAGAATATATACAAAGTCAAACATAAAATATGTATGTCCAAGAAAATACATTGCATATTCTTTTTACTAAAACTTTTTTCTTTCAATAAGTGATTAAAATAAGCTCCGAATTAATAAGTTCATTTAAATTTGTAACATAATGAATTATTTTTCAAACAATTGGGTCATTTTATAAATTGCTGGTAATTAAAAAAATCTTATTCCAACATCTTATTTAAAATAAAAATTGTTATATTTTAATGCAAACAAAAAATATAGTTAAAAAGGATACGTAAAATTCTATAAATATTTGTAGAAAAATTCAATGTTTATTTTGTGTTTGTTAATATAAAAAATATGCACGTATAGATTCGAAAAGTAACGATAAAAATAAATGTTCAATTTGTTATCACACATTACAGAACAGTGCAAAAAGTTATTGCTTTTATTAGAAACGCCGTTACTGTTATTAAACAAAAATTTGTTATTACTAAAGATAATGAAACTGCAAGTGATGCGTTTCATTCGATTAAAAAAAAAAGAAAATTAAGGTAAGATTAAAAATTTGTCATATATAATTAACATAAATTTTTCTTATAATTAGCATATTTTTCTTTAACTACTTATTATCTTACTTTTTAAGAACTTATATCGGAATTATGATATAAAACCGTTTGTATATGTATTGACCTCGGATATTTATTACAATTTTGTCGTGTAAACATTACAACTTGTGAAATACCTGAAATATTGGTTCAATATTCTTCTCATCTACATTCATAAATGCAAAAAAGTTCGACAAATATTCAAAAGCTTTGATCATAGGGTACCATGCTATATAATCTTTCTCTCTTCTCGGTAAATAGCTCGCAAGATACCAGAATGTAGAGAAATCCAGTTTTTCCTCCATCATGAAATGAAACGCGTCATCGATAAGTTGCGCTCGATTGAGAACATGTATATTAGTATAGTTTTCAGAATGTAAATAACGTGCAATTCTTCGCCAATTCTCCAAATCATAATTGACGCGATAGTATCCTATTATTCAACAAATAAAATGTATTGATTATATATTTGAATAAATATAATAGAAAATATTTCAAATTATGTATATTTCATTTTTTTTAATTTTAAGCATGTAAAACGGTATTAAATATCAATATATCTATATATATAAATACAAAGTTTCACAAAAATAGGTCAAAATGAAAAAATTAAAAAAAAGGAATAATAAAAGATAAAAAAAATTTTAGTACCTGTTTTACGAAAATAAGTCAATAAATGTGTAAGTAGTTCGCGGTCAGACAGACATACAGTCAGACGGTGCTTATTTTTGCGAAATAAAATATTTAAAACAAAAGAACTAATTTTTTATATTAAATTAAGTTTTATAAAGGTTATATGAGAACCGCGCTTTGCGCGGTCCGAAAAGCTAGTTTTATAATAATATGTGAAAAATACTTTAAAAGAATATTATATGTAATGTGTAAAATATAATTTCAATTTTTATAACATTATTTTAGTATTCAAATATTTAATAATATAGATGTTATATATATATGTGTATATAATAAAAGATATGGGTATTAATGAAATATTAACTTACTCTTAGTTTGTTTTATCGACAAATATATTTTATATAATGTAATGGAAAATATGGATATAAAGAATTTAATTATAATTTATAAGAATTTAAGAATTTAAGAATTTAATTTAATTAAAGAACTTAATTATAATTTAAAAAACATGTGTATACTAATAAGCATACATATGATATTTACCAATTTGTTGTTTATCGATAATTAGCCATTGAGTTTCATTTATAATGGGTATTTTCAACTCGGGATTTGATTCCGTTAAATAATGATCAATAGTTGACGATTTTCTGTTGAAATCGATGTTTATTTGCATAGTATAGGAGATGGGTATAAGAAAGGTTGTTTGATCGGAACGTTGTTTTTCGTCTATCGATATATTTACATAAGCACCATTGTAATCTCGTATCGCATTTAACACAGGACAGTACTTCTGATTAACCCAAACATCCATCATTTGTTTTACGTTTATTTTGTCATTTTTAATTGCTGATGCATCTATGGTTCGCATAATATTCCATAATAATAGATTAGAAGGCATTTTCGAATTACGGTAAATCGTCCTGAAAAATTTAATTGTAGAATTAAATACCACATACAATATGATTGATTTATATTCTGAAAATTTAAAATCATAATTATCATTTTAATTACAAATATATTTTAAAGGTATTATTTTCTTCTCTGAAATAATATTCTTTTTAGATTAATATAAATAAAAAAAATTTATTTGAACTTTGAGTTATTGTCACTGCCAAAAAGTATGATATAATAACATCATTTGTTGCTGACAATAGTGAAGTGACAATTGATTGCAAACAAAAAATTGAATTTAAAATTTTAATCTTCCAATAGATGCCCCAAAAATGAAACCGACACGTTTACATAAAAAGAATTACTTTTCAAATATAACAAGCTTAAATTAATGATTAATACCACTTTTTATTACTCTTTTTATTAAACCTCATAATCTGAAGGAGATGCTGACTTTTTTTGCTTTATCGATAAAATGTGAAGTTGGATTTGACCATGAAACGTTTTATTGGTTGCACAAATTTAAAAAAAGTACTCTTTTTCACAATTAAAGAACTAATAGTAAGAAATTATGAATGATATAATTTATGTAAAAAATGATATAATTATATGCAAAAAAAACAAATAGTTAAAAAAATGCCAATACAAAAAATGTAATTTTTTAACTTTTTTTGTGTTTTACCTAAAATTATAGCGCTCCCCACATATGTTTATATTTAATACTTCAATATACATTCAAGCCAATAAAAAGATTCATTTGGCCGAATTCAGCTTTGCGTTATCGATGAAACAGTGGGAGTAGACATTTTCTTAAAACTAAATAAAAATCTTAAATTGTAAAGATTAATTCCATCTCAACTTGATGTGAGTAAATATAGTCAATCAATAAAACTTCTTGACGAAAAAAATATATTTGCGAATTATTTGAAATAATATTTTAAAAATAACGAAAAAGTACAAACAAAATTTAAATCCCGGATAAATTTCTTAAATAATTTGATTAAAAAACTGGACCAATTAAATAATCGACGAAACGCAACACTGTCCAATATCTTCAATGTGATAAAGTATATTACATATATTACAATGTGTTTGTCACTTACCTCGTCTTTAGAAATGAATTCATACACTCCCAAAACGCATTATTGGGTATTATACTTTCTAACATGCGCCATATAATGGGTCCTATTACAGTAATATAAATTGTGTAATTATATATAAATATGTATAATAAAATATATACTTAAAAATTAAATGTATATATAAATATATTAAATAAAAAAATATATGTATTAAAAAATACATATGTAATAAATAATATATGTCAAGATCAAGAACATTGAAAGTGCGTCTCTCACCTTGCTTTAATTAAATTTTTTAACAGCTTAATTGAATGTAAGAGTAAATAAACGGGAAAATTATAATAAATTAATCTCTTTTTAGATATTCATGATTATCAATTTTATCAATATTATATTTACATTGATTACAAATATATATAAAGTAATATTTTTGAAATATAAATAATTAAATCTCATAATGAGTTGACTGGTAGAGCCTTGGGCGTGCTTAATAAAGCGCAGCTATACTTGAGTTGAGTAAATAAGTTTGATATTACTAAAAATAACTTACATAAGAAGATGTTAATACTTATATTTCGCGAACGTTTCGATTTTTCTTAGAGCCTTCATCAGCACATAAATTGGTTTGACAATTATGTAGACGGATTTCATTAAAATGACGTTCAGGACGTGGAATACTCTCAGTTTCACTCCAAATTATAAAATATGTTCAATTCGATTTTACATTGAATGGATATTTATTCCTCACTGGGTTGAAAACCCCAGATTCTTATAGCCAACTCATTGTAAAATTTAATTATTTATTAAATTTAAGAGGACCGGAACTAATTGTATATATTATTTAATCACTGATTGTGATATTTTTTAACTAGTCAAATTATCTAATTCAGTCACATACATACGTACGTACCTATAATACGTTGACGAATAGAAAGTGAATTAATTTGAAACGTGCTATTTGTAAATACTTCATTAATATCAGTAGGAAAGTATATATCCATATAACGATATTCATGCTGATCTTGAATTATAAACAAGTTCATCATTCCAGAGTTTGGAAAAACCTACAAACAGAAAAAGCTTGCATTAACAATTCTAGTATTATCAAATTATTCAAAAAAGAAACTTGCAAGGTATTTGCAAATTATAATATAAAATTTCAACTGTTATCTGCTCTATATAATGTCTCTCTTTAAATTATTAAAGTATTGTAAGAAATTAAATAATTAAATATTTAATTTTTTTAGTATTTCTAAATTTCTATTCTTCTATTCTAACGAATAGAGAAGAGAAAGCTTCAAATTTTTTTCATGTTATCACAAATATCGACGGAAAATATTTTATAACTAGCTTATAGAACTATATAATAATTACTAATTTATAATAAATTTATAATAATAATATAATAACCTTCCCAATGATATATGCTTCGATGAACTTAATGAAGCCCTCATATAACAACCGGTGAGTATACCAAGCATGGACCAAACTTTTGAACCATTGATATATTATTTCATGAGCTATTGAGCGTATTGCTGTACCTTTATAGGCAGGATATAATTCTTCATTGTAGGTAATATATGTTTCACTGAAAATTATTTATAAGATTATGTTGATACTCTTTGTTATATATAAGCATTTTTAACTTGCATTAAAACCAAAGATATGCATTTAAATTTTTGAAATAGATGCAATTAAAAAGGGATCAATATAAAATGTAAAATACGTATTTTGTATTTGAAATACAAAAATACAAGTCTTCAAAAATATTTTACATTTATATTTATGTATATATATATATATATATATATATATATATATATAAATGGAGATTATTACTCATTTTATCTTCAAATGCATTTTTCTCGCAAAAAACTAAAAATTATTCGATATATATATAATATGTATGTGAAACAATTAAATATTATTAAAGAAGTCGATAAGAGTAAATGTAAACAATAAACATTTTTTGCAATTTCAAGTATTTTTACGTAATTATAATTTTTGGTTTATACTAAAAAATATATAGAGTGTTTAAATAAAGTTCATAAAAGTTTGAAGAGTTTAGAAGAAAGTTTGTAAAAAAAGCTTATATAAAGAAGTTTATAAAATTTATTAAAATTTAATAAAAAAAATAAGAATTTAAATATAAATTATGACTAAATAAATAAATAAATAAATAAATAATAAGAATATAGATTTATATATATATATATATATAAATATTTGAAAATACAATTTTTATTTTAAAAACTCATGTAAAAAAATGCTTATTTTTCATTTCCTATTTTAGATAGGTATTTTAAAACATTTTGCATCTTGCATTTTGCATTTTTAAATCAAAAGCATCCAAATATTTTGCGTTTTATATTTTAAATGGATTTAGACATTTATTTTGCACATTGCTGGTTAAACATAAATATGTTACATATATATATGGGTATATATATATATATGTATGTATTCATATAAAAGTGCAAAATAATTTTAACTATTTTCACGATTTGATAATTTATCCTATCAAGCATAAGAATATTATAATAATAAAAAATTATTATATATCAAAAGCAAAGAGGCTCGTATTATGCAAATAAATAATAATATGAGCAAGCAATAATATATAATTAATATATTTGTATTATTTTGCACAAATCCGAAAATCATAGAATATATTAATAATATAATATTTATCCTATAATAATAAAAAAGCATTATATATCAAATAGCAGTATAATTAAATATAGAGGCTTAATAGGGGATACATGGAATGCAATTAAATTTTATATATAAAGTAAAGGTGTATATTAATAACGAAAATTTAGTTTTTTAGAATAAAACTTCAAATTATTGCCTATAGATATAAATAATTATTATATATATATATATATATATATATATATAAACTAAATCTCTATATCATTAAATTTCTTTGTAATTTCTAACAAGAATCATATAAAACGCATGACTTAAATTTTTTTTAGTTTTAAAAATTGAAAATAAAATATATTTGGATAAGTTGTAATTATGATTAAATATTAAATGTATGTATTACTTGTAAATTAGCAATCCCCAAGTCTGCCTGATATTGCCCTCGAAATTCGGAATAACAACAAAATCCACTTTAGGGCCTTTTCTCATTATATTCCAATTGTCATCTAAATACATGGTTACATTTTCGAGAACATGTCGCGCAAATTTTATGTGTGGTACCAAAAGCGATCTGCTCCACGTATTGATCGTTATTTTCGAAAAAGGAATGAGATGAGATTTATATGTGATGGGATTCGAAGGTGTCATATTAGACATCAGAATTAATGCTACTTCGTAAATATATGTATAAGGCCACATGTGGAAATGCGTAAGCGTCACGTTATTAGATACAAATTGATTTTTTATCGGCATATTCGATAAAACTTGGTATCGTCTATCATGTTCTACTGAGATGGTAAAGGTGACGAAATCAGATGTGTTAAAATTTGGGAATAATGGTCGTCCTTTTCTGGGCTGGAACAATGTTGCGATAAACCTGAAATATTTGAATGAAAAATTTTTAACAGTTATTGATACACAAATATACTATATAATGTGAGTATCGCATTTAAAGTATACAGTGTTATTTCTCGCAAACCAATGATTTTAATTAAAAATGGTTTAAATAAGAGTTAAATGGTTTCAAAAGGGATGTAAGATATAGTAAAGATTTGACATTGGGTAATCGTTTGAAGGACACGTGAAGATCATCTTTAATTTTTTAAAAGAAACCTACTATTTTTGTTGTATATTCTTCTAGCTCAACCCAACAGCTTTTCAAAACATTATAATAAAATATTTTTCTCTTTAGTACATTTTGAGTTACAAAATTGGAAGCTAACAATTTTTACATATAATGTAAAATATCTTGTAAAATATTCGATTTTTGGTAATCTTTTATATTAATGCACGATATAATTAGACCAATCAATTGGTGTAAACAAAACAGACAATTGTATAAAATGGAACACTTTGTATACATGCATATAGTAGCTAATTTTAATATACTTTAGTATGTACTCACTTTTTATCTTCTTCCTCGTCTGTATACCATGTTTGCCAAATTTTGTCAGTTTTTGAGTATAAAAAATTAACATATAGAGTATAAAGTCCCAGTTTCAAGTTATTTTTTAGCAAATTGTCGCGGGCAAAATTTAAAACGAGAATAGTCTTCGAGGTAATAAAAGTAAGTGCATTGATTATTTTATTGTCGTCCAATATTAAATATATTTCTGTTACATTTATATAATTTGATGTACGTAAACGTATGAATCCTGGGCTATGAATATCAACAGTAATATTGGCTTCTCCATGAGACACATAATCTGGCATCAGTGATATCTTCAAGTCATAATGATACGATGTCAGAACGCTCGCGTTTTTATTAGAATAAGCTAATGTAATTACAAGGATGTATAATAAAATATTTATTGACAATTTTAGGAACATCGTGCTTAGTTTCAGATATCTGCAATAACATTTTCTTGATAAGAATAAGTGGAACGAATAACAGAATCAGAGAACAATTTATATTATATAATGTAAAATAATATGTAATGTAAAAATAAAATGAAAAAATGTAATGTATAAATATATAATGTAAAATATTGAAATATAATGTAATAAATGTAATACTGGCGATTTAGTGAAAAATGGAAAATATTTTTACGTAAACTATTGTATATTTTTTATTACGCACAATATATGTTTAAAATAAACGTAAAATAAAAATTCTGTGTGTCTAATCATACATCAGTTTCGAGAAAAAAACTTTCTCAAAATTTACACAATATTATCAACGTCTATTTTTTAATGAATTAAAAAAGATAAATTACGTTTCTTAATTGTTTTTCAATTAATATTTGCTACTCACAATATTATTGAAAACTTTTTGATAATATTAACTTTTCTTCAGCTTAATACAATTAATTCTAAAAAAAGTTTTTGATACACGTACAAACAGATTTAATTGTGTATATTAATAATAATTAGATGTTATTAAGTGTTAATTAATATAGGATATTTGTCTTAAAATAATCTGATTCACAAACGCGGGTGTTTACTTCGGGAATAATACATTGAAAAATTAAAATAGAAAGAGGAAATACATATATTCTATTTTGCTGAACATTATTTGATTAACTTGGTGATGATTTTAACACCCGTGTTCTTGTAAAACTGAATATTGAAAACTTGTGACTATACCAAGTTTTAAATATTCACTATATAGCGGTTTTTGATAAAATTTCTTTTATTCCAATTTTATGGAATGCTTGATTGATTTAGTCTGTATTTAAAAAAAACAATCAATTATATTACATATATTTAATTTAAGAACACAAGAGTAATGTTAAAAATATAAAACATACATTAAAACTATGATAAATAAAAGTAGCTGACAAATGTAACTGATAAATGGAATACAAAACGAAAAAGATGGTATAGGTCCGGAAATTCGTTTATTTTGATATCTTTTGAACTCCATTTTTATAAAATTAAAATATTTGCTTTACATTCTAATATAACATACATATCAACTTTTTCCTTTGTTTTTGGATATCTAATCGCTTCCCGAACGATTGATCACAACTTTGGAACAATTATTTATAAATTAAGTTAACTTCAGTGCTATATTATATAAAGTTTTTATAAATATTGAATTCTGAAATACTGAAATATTAAGCATAAAATATGTATACAATTATATATTTTCATGACTGGGCTTCGTTCGTTGGAATTTATCATGCTTGCGACTAATATGTTATTATTACCAGATTTATGTCATTTGTAAGTCATGTACTTATACTTTAAAGAAATGAATAATAAACATGTTTATATCATGCTTATTTGAAATTTTGTCGATATATGTCTTATCAGCAAACCAAAACGTAATGCAAATTTTTCATTTTTATAATCATTGTATAATTTTCTAATTCTCTAAGAATGTAAACTAATATTTAATTTAATATATGTGAGAAAATATTGCATATATACAAGGTGTCCGGTAACTAACGGACCAACGATTACAAATGGATTCTTTGGTCAATTTGGGAACAACTTTTCCTCAGCAAAAATGTCGAAAAAGGTCATCATTTTTTACAACTTTCCAATATTGTCATGTATCTTTATAACTAAGCCTCAAATTAAAATTTCATTATAGTAAACTCTACCTGAAATTAACTGAAGAATGTAATTATGTTAGACTTTTAACTCCAAAACGTTTAGTTTTCAAAAAACCCATTTTTTTCAATCGCTTATAACTCGAAAATTATTGACTTCTCAACATTTTTGCTAAGGAAAAATCGTCTCCAAATTGGCCAGAGAATCCGCCCTTAATCATTGGTCCGTTAGTTACCGGACACCCTGTATATATATTTTTGAAAAAAAAAAACATAAAACAAAACTTAACCTGTCTTTAAATTTTATTTTTTTTTATTACGTATTAAAATTTAAAAAAACAAACAATGTTAAAATTTATATGTAAATGTTTTTATGTTATATGCAATATATAAAATAAAAAAAGGAAAACATTTAACATTTATTTAAACATTAAATAAAATATTAACAAATTGAGAACGCTTATATAGTGAGTTTTTCATTTATTTTTATATGATTATATTTAAAATATATATCTAAATGTTATGTATTTGGATTTACTTTAGTCTATCTGCTTCTAGAATGTATGTTTTATTACATATTTAATTTAACAAATTAGAAAATATTTATTATAGAAATCAAATTGAAAAAAAAATGAATCAAACAAAGCTTAATCTTTACTAATATAAGTATGCTGTCTTCTAAGCTGGGCAATAGAGCCAAGGAAACGAAACGAAAAATTAATTAAACGGAACTGTATCTCAATTTGAGATCCCAAAGTTCCACATATAAATTAATTTCGAAACTTACATATGGAGAAATAAGCGAGAAAAATCTTTACAATTTTTAATTTATGGGATAACATAATAAAAAATTGAAAATGTTTCTATAATATATACATCTAAATATATTTATCTTATCTGCAATATGCAAAAGAAAAATGAAGATAATAATTGAAGATAATAATAATTGAATAACATACAGAGACAAATTTAAATGTTTGCTTTAATATTAAATAAAATACCTTTTAGAAATGGAGAACTCTAAGATAGCGAAATCTTTACTTATTTTTATATTATTATATTTATTAGAAATATCTGAATTTTTTCATTTGACTTACCTTACTTTATCTGTTTGTAGAATATCACGAGCTGAATCACCTTAGCCGAAAGTGTATCGCTTACTTGTGATGTTACCTCTTCAAAGGACAGACGAGAACTGACGACGTTCGCGGGAAGATAACATATGAAATTCATAAATCTCATATAAATTGCTTTCCAAGGTTATACGTAACAATTTGTCTCATCGACTAGATTTGCAAATATCAATACATAATTAAAGAGTTTCGTCAGAGATTTTGTATCTATTACATTTAAAACAATTTTAAACAAATTTAATCAGGAAGTTATATGCAAACAGAAATATATCGTTTATCTGGCTTTTATATAGAATTATTTCTTTCTTTGTCGCCACATATTGGATGATGAATGGAGAGAGAGGTACATCATATCATATCTTTTCTATTTTCTTATTAAATTTTGATTTTAATGTGTGTGGTTAGTGGAATTAAAAATACTGTTCTGATGATATAGAATGCATAATATGTGCGTGAAAAATTCAATAAAGTAAAGAAATATTAATATTGTCTTTATATAAACAAAATTTAAATCCTTCGAGCGGAAGAGACTAAAACGTTTGCAATATGTAATTACTAATATCTTTCTATGTAATTAATTTTATTATTAAATTTATTTATTCAAATATATATGCGCCTTATTAACTGCGTCCGGGCTGTCATAGCCAACTCATTTTTTGAGATTTAATTATTTATTAATTCTTTAAGGTGTTTATATTTAAAATAATTTTTCTTAAAAATTCAATCACAAAATTGTATATTTCTAGAAATTCTATGAAAAAATATATTTTTTACTTTTTTCTGATATTTAAAAAAATCTATTTATAGCAATAATTTACTAAGTTTTGTAGAAATCATATTTGCTTTTATCTTATTGGATTATAATTTTATTCATTTTTTCGGATTTTTTATATTTGACTTTGTTTACAATTTCTTTACATATTTTTTCCTTATTTCTTTTTTCTTTACGGATTAGCAGGTACACTTAGAGTTAAAAATAACATTTAGCTAAATTTTTTTCTTTTTGTTTTAATTATCTTGTTTTAATTATATAATTTAATTATTATTTTTGGAAAATTACGAAACTTTAATAATTAAATTATGGACGACCGCAAAAATATGTAGAATCGTCAGAATAAAAGAACGCGAAAATTTGTAGTCAAACTTTTCACACAATAAATGTTCAGTAATAATTAAAAATATAATATATTCAATATACAATAATAATAATACAATATATTCAAAGAAAACTGTGTTTCATATTCTCTTATATATTACCTTTATTTTTAAAGATAGAATTACCTAATCGTTATTAACAGGCAAATTTTATTCATTTTGATTTTATTTTATTTATCTTCTCCAATCATTAAACAATTATAACATGAAATAGAAATTCAATATTAAACATAAAATTGTATATTTTTGGCACTCGGCATTTTGGAATATAAACCCGCAATATTATTATTAAATCTTTTATTATTTTACAAAAAATTGAAAACAATGTACGAAAATGTTATAAAGATATTAATAATAAAATACTAATTATTATAAACATTAATATAAAATAGTACACACATATAAACACGTATAATAAGTATTGATGTTTATATAAATATTAAAACAAAATAATATACATAATAAAAAAGCTAATTTAATCATTAAATACATTTACAATATAATTAAAAATATAATACAATATAATACAATATAATTAAAAAAATCGTAGAAATGAAAAATAATCAAGGAATAGAAAATAAATGCTCATGTAAGTAACAAATACTTTATAAACAAATAAGAAATAAACACTATAAATATATAAAAAATTATTTTAAATATTTATGCTGAATTATTATTATCCATGTCAGTTTAAATAGACGTATTGAACTTCTCATTTAAATTCTCATTTGAACAAATTGTGAAAAAAGCGTGACTGGACGAACACTTTATCAGACCGCGTTATTATCTTTTGTTTAATAATTGTCTTCTGTTCTATATCATCTTTATAATCTGAGAGTGGCATCTTGGTATTCACAAATTTCATTATCTAAAATAAATATTATTTTAATTTTGATTGTTCTATCAATCAAAAATTTTGTAATTAATTATCATGAAAAATAAGTTTTTCAAATGTAGTAAGCATAATTTATATCGATATACAAAATATTTCAGAAAGAAACAGAAAAATGCGTGTATTATTTACAATATAGATATGTAACTCATTGTAATAAAAATGAAGTATTATAGCAATAATTTTATAAAAAAAAATAAGTACAAAATTTACCTTGTCGAATAATTGTTCCTTAGAGTACGCATTATTAATAAGCACATTTAATATCACCTCTGTACTGATTTGACTATTCAAAAATAAAATATATATGTATATATATATATACACAGGGTGTTCCAAAAAGAACGGATTACTTAAAAATCTTGAAAAATATACGTTTTACAGAAAAGGTTCAGACAAAAATTGTAGGGTTCAAAAAAATCTATTTATTGATCTTATCAGCTTGTCCTTGGGTGGCGTTATCAAGGTTAAAATAGGGACACCTTGAATTTTTTAAATAGAGCCCTATACTTTTTATTACATATTCTTATAGCTATCTCGAGAGCATTTCAAAACATTATAATTAAATTATTTTTTGTAAGGTATTTTCCGAGTTACAAAGCTTGAAAGTTATAGTTCTAAAAGGCTTGCCATAATTACAATTCTAAAAAATCTAAAAAATGAAGACGAATGGAAGAAAGAGTTCGTATGTAAGGATGTTACAACCATGATGTCGGCTGTTAGATAATATAACTTTCAAGACTTGTAACTCGGAAAGTACCTTATAAAAATAATTTAATTATAGTGTTTTGAAAAGTTCTCGAGGTAAGCTACAAAAATATGTAATAAAAAATATAGGGTTCCATTTAATAAATTCAAGGTGACCTTATTCTGATCTTGGTAACGTCACCCAAAGTCAAACTGATAAGATCAATAAAAATATTTTTTTAGACCCTATAACTTTTGTCTAATCTTTTTTTGTTATAAAACATATTCTTCAAGATTTGTAAGCAGGAGTCCGATCTTTTTGAGACACCCTGTTTAATTAAAACGTATATATAATAAGTCTTTTCGATTATGTGCAATATATTTGTATAAAATGTAAGTTGTTACCTGTGTTTTATATATACATAATTGTTCAATATAGCTTCAAGTACTGGAGTGTTCTTAGCATGTCTCGCAAGAGTAGAAAGGTACATATATGTAGTTAAAGTATAAACTTTACGCTCATTTTCATGTGCAAGCATTTTATGATCATTATCTTTTAACATTTCCGTTTCAAATGCCGGTATTATATTCCAAAGTAAATTAAAGATAAGGTCAGGATTTTCAGAACAACTCAGGTATATCAATCTTTTATAATCGGATTTTTCCTTGTACATATTAGATGACATATTGTATATAATCGTCCACATATCACGGTTCGCTGTCTTTAATCCATTACAATATGTCCATTCTTGCCATTCAGGCAAAATTCTATGACAAACGAAAAAGAAATTTTCTAGTTTTTGATATATATCTATTATCGATATTTATTGTATCTTTATATTAATAAATATCCAGAAGATCCATATATTAGAAAATAGAAAAATATATGATTATGTCACAAGTAGCAAACTGACGTCATTAAACGTGAAAATGACATCATTCTGACGTCTAATAACGTCATTCAACATGACTTTAAAATGACGTCATTTTGCTACTTGGGATATAGATATAATAATTGTATATCCGCAAATGTTTTCTTTCATTGTATAATCTTTGTTCGCACGTATTTAAATAATAAAAAGAATAATAATTCTAAGAATTATTTTTTGGCCTACATTTTTTTGAAAAAAAAAATTTTATTTTTTTATTTATGAATTTTTAAAATTGTCATACCTGTCGATTTTATTTAATTGAATATATTAAAAAATCTAAGAAAAATTCTAATATACAGAGTGTACTAAATAAATAAATACGATGCACAGCCTAGTTGCAGAACAACAAACTAAATCGAAAAGTCTTGAGCTATTTTTTTTATCTAAGTTTTCTTTTTGACACTATAAATTGTTATGAACAATTTTCTTTTATTTCTTAAAAATTTATTTTATGCTGAAAAAACTATTTAGCGATTATTCTTAAATTTTTCCTTAGCTTTTTATTTATTTTTTATATTTTTTTTTCCATATACAAATAAAAATTATATTAATAAAACGAGAAAAACATATATGACATATTTTATATAAAATGCAATAATAAGATATCTATATATCTGATTTTACATTATTTTCTTTATCGTAATATATCTAAAATATGTGCACGAGATAAGAAAATATATACACAGAAATAATTATGATTAAAAGAAAACTTACTTATTTAATGTAGGTTTTTGTACATACAATTCCAATTTATTTTTGGCTATTTTTACGCACAAATCATAATTGATAAGACATCCCCATTTTGCGAGTTCCAGTTTTAAATAATTATTAAATTTGTCTTTAACATTTATTTGATGAAATATATTTTCGTATAGAGATGTATATATGTGCTCTTTTTATCTTCCATCATTTCTTTTATTTTCACTGATACTCCCTACAATTTAAAAAATAAATTTTATTTGATCATTAAATTCTATGAAAAGGCAAATATAATATATGTATGTATGTATATGTCCGAAAAAATACATATTCTTTTTTTCACTAATTGTAAGTGTATTTTCTTTCAACAAATGGTTAAAATAAGTTTATTAATAAATTAACTTATGCTTATAACAAATAAATTATATTTCAATTAGTTTCTTTAATTCTTTTTTTTAGCAAATTAAAAATTGCTTAATTTTACATTTTTAACTTTACGCAATTTAGTATATGATAAATTATAATTTAAATTATGTAAAAATTTGTTTTTTAATCAAAAGTATATAAGAGAAACAAAAGATAAGTAAAAACAAAATTTACTCATTTAAAATAAAATTTGTAAAATTTTATTGTGATTGAAAGCTGGTAGAAAAATTCAATGTTTGTATTTGTTAGTATAAAAAATATGCCATGTAGATTCTTAAAGAATCTGTAAAAAGAAATACTGAGTTTGCTTGCAGCAATTTAAAAAAATATATAAAATATATAAAAAAGTTACTGATTTTATTAGAGACGTTATTATTGATATCAAACGATTCGCATATTATTAAAACTTTATCACATATATAATTACATTTTTTTAACTATACCAATTTTTTTACGAATCAGAATTATAATACAAAATTGTTTGTATATATTAATCTCTGATATCTAATACATTTTTATCGCTACAATTTGTAAAATACCTTGAGTACTGGAAAAGATTCATGTCAGACGCACTTGTAATTGCAAAATAGTTCGACAAGTATTCAAAAGCTTTGATCATAGGATACCATGCTATATAATCTTTCTCTCTTCTCGATAAATAGCTCGCAAGATCCCAGAATATAGAAAAATTCAGTTTTTTCTCCACCGCAAAATGAAACGCGTCATCGATAATTTGTGCTCGGTTGAGAACATGTATATTAATATAGTTTTCGGAATTTAAATAACGTGCAATTCTTCGCCAATTTTCCGGATCATAGTTGACGCGATAATATCCTATTATTTTACAAGTAAATTTTATCAGTTTCATTTCTTTGAATAAATATAGTAAAAAGTATTTTATATTAGATATATTTTATTTTCTTCATTTTAAGTATATGTAAAGCTGTTTTAAAAATAAATATAAGTATATATATATATATATATATATATATATATATATATAGTAGAAAATGTAAATATCTTATCAATATTACTAATAACAAAAATATTTAGGTAATTATTTTAAATAAAAAATTAAGCTCTAGAAAACTAAGCAACGTGCGTGTAGTGTTTGAAATTGTAAAATTTATTAGAGTAATATATGAAGAATAATTTAAAAGAATATTATTATATGTAATGCGTAAAATATAATTTTAATCTTTATAAAATTATTTTAGTATTCAAATATTTAATAACATGGATGTTATATATATATAAAAAATATGTGTATTAATGAGATGTTAACTTATTGTTAGTTTGGTTTATCGACAAACATTTTTACACAGTGATAGGAAATATGTGGATATAAGGATTTAATTATAATTTAAAAAACATATGTGTACACTAATAAGAATACATATGATATTTACCAGTTTGTTGTTTATCGATAATTACCCATTGAGTTTCATTTATAATGGGTATTTTCAACTCGGGATTTGATTCTGTTAAATAATGATCAATAGTTGACGATTTTGTATTGAAATCGATGTTCATTTCCATAGTATAGGTGATGGGTATAAAAAAGGTTGTTTGATTGAATGGTTGTTTTTTGTCTATTGATATATTTACATAAGCTCCATTGTAATCTCGTATCGCATTTAGCACAGGACAGTACTTCTGTTTAGCCCAAACATTTATCATTTGTTTTATGTTTATTTTGTAATTCTTAATTGCTGATGCATCTATGATTTGCATAATATCGCACAGATGATCGGGAACTCTCGAATTACGGTAAATCGCCCTGTAATGTTGTAGAACTCAACTTGAAGTAAGTAAATATAGCCAATCAACAAAACTTCTTGACGAAAAGTATATATTCCCGAATTATTCAAATCGGAATAATATATTAAGAATAAACAATAAGTACACAAACAAAATTTGAATCTTGGATAAATTTCTTAAATGATTTAATTAAAAAAAAAAATAGATCAATTAAATAATCGACGAAACGCAACATTTTGCCCAATATTTTTAAAATCATAATGTATTTTACTTAAATTACAATGTGTTTGTCACTTACACCGTCTTTAGATATGTGTTGATAATTTCCCAAAACGCATTATTGGGTATTACACTTTCTATCATGCGCCATACAATGGGTCCTATTACAGTAATTAAAATTTTATAATTATATATAAATATGTATAATGAAATATATACTTAAAATTAAATATATATACATAAAATGTATTAAACAAATGTATTAAATAAAAAAATATATGTATTAAAAATACATATGCAATAAATAATATATCATATGTCAAGATTAAGAACATCGGAAGTTATACATATTATTTAATTACTGATTGTAATATTTTTTTAAATAATCAAATTATATAATTCAGTCACATACATACGTACTTATAATACGTTGATCAAGAGAAAGTGAATTAATTTGAAATGTGTTATTTGTAAGTGTTCCATAAATATCAGTAGGAAATATATATCCATATAACGATATTCATGCTGATCTTGAATTATGAACAAGTTCATCATTCCAGAGTTTGGAAAAACCTACAAACAGAAAAAAACTTGAATTAACAATATTACAATATGCACTGATAAATTAATTATTTGTTATTTGTAAAGAAAGTTTGTATATTTTTTATAATATAATATAATATTATGTAATTTTATAGTAATTGTGAATTTACATGTAATGTATAAGTATACTTATTGATATATAAAAATGTTATTCAAATTATTCAAAAAACAAACTTGCAAGGTATTTGTAAATTATAATATAAAATTTCAATATATCTGTTATCTAATCTATATAATGTCTTTCTTTAAATTATTAAAATATTTTAAGAAATTAAATAATTAAATATTTAATATTTTTAGTATTTCTAAATTTCTATTCTTAACGAATAGAGAACAGAAAGCTTCAAATCTTTTCATGTTATCACAAATATCGACAGAAAATATTTTGTAACTAGTTTACAGAACTATATAATAATACTAATTTATAATAAATTTATAATAATAATATAATAACCTTATCAATGATATATGTTTCGATAAACTTAATGAAGCCCTCATTTAACAACCAGTAATTACACCAAGGATAGAAGAAATTATTGAACCATTGATATATTATTTCATGAGTTATTAAGCGCATTGCTGTAGCTTTATAGGCAGGATATAATTTTTCATTGTAGGTAATATATGTTTCACTGAAAAATATTTATAAAAAGATCAGGTTGATACTCTTTGTTATATATAAGGATTTCTAACTTGTATCAAAACCAAGAATATGCATTTAAATTTTTGAAATAGATGTAATTAAAATGAATCAATATAAAATGTAAAATGCGTATTTTGTATTTGAAATATAAGAATGCAGATCTTCAAAAATATTATACATTTATATTTAAATGGAGATTATTACTCATTTTTCTTTTAAATGCATTCTTCTCGCAATAAAGCACAAATTATTCAATTGTATAATAATATGTTCCTGCAATAATCAAGAAACAATAAATATTTTTTGCAATTCCATGTATCGTTATGTAATTTTTATTATTGGTTTATACTAAAAATATATATAGAAAGTTTAAATAAAGTTTATAAAAGTTTGAAGAGTTTATAGAAAGAAGTTTATAAAGAAAGCTTATATAAGAAAGTTTATAAAATTTATTAAAATTTAATAAATAAATAAGCATTTAAATATAAATTACTGTACGAAATAAATAATATATAATAAGAATTTATATATAGGTAAATATTTGAAAATACAATTTTTATTTTAAAAACTTATGTAAAAAAATGCTTATTTTCCATTCCTATTTTAAATGGGCATCTTAAAACATTTTGCATCTTCCATTTTGAATTTTTAAATCAAAAGCATCTAAATATAAAAAAAATTTAATATTTCTTAAAAATGTATACGTTAATTATACGTAATTATTTTATTTAACTTTATGCACTTATGTGCATTTTTATTTATCTCTCTTTCTCAAAAATGTAATAAGCATATATTTTAGATTTGCCATATTTTTTCTTCGATGTGACAAACTAAATTTCTATATCATTAAATTTCTTTGTAATTTCTAACAATAATCGTATAAAACGCATGTCTTAAATTTTTTAAATTAAAAAAAATTGAAAATAAAATATATTTTGATAAGTTGTAATTATGATTGAATATTAAATGTATGCATTACTTGTAAAGTAACAATCCCCAAGTCTGCCTGATATTGCCATTGAAATTCGGAATAACAATACAATCTATTTTAGGGCCTCTCCTCATAATATTCCAATTGTCATCTAAATACTTGATTACATTTTCGAAAACATATTGCGGAAATTTCATGTGTGGTACCAAATCTGACCTGCTCCACATATTGATCGTTATTTTCGAATAAGAAATGAGATCATATGTGATGGGATTTGAAGGGGTCATATCAGACATCAGAATTAATGCTACTTCGTTAATATATGTATAAGGAAACTTGTCGAAAAGCGTAAGCATCGTGTCATTAGATACAGATTGACTTTTTATCGGTCTATTCGATAAAACTAGGTATCGTTTTTCATGTTCTACTGAGATGTTAAGGGTGACCAATTCAGATATGTAAAAATATGGGAATATTGGTAGTCTTCTTGTGAACTGGAACAGTGTTGCGATAAACCTGAAACATTTTAATGACAAATTGTTAACAATTATTGGTACATAAATATACTATATACTATACAGTGTTATATTTCGCAAACCAATGATTTTATTGAAAAATGGTTGAAATAAGAGTTAAATGGCTTCAAAGGGGACGTAAGATATAGTAGAAATAATTTGACCTCAAGTAGTCGTTTGAAGGACACGTGAAGGTCATCTTCAATTTTTTAATAGAACCTACTATTTTTTGTTTTATATTTTTCTATTTTATCTCAAGTGCTTTCTAAAACGTTATAATAAAATATTTTTCTCTTACGTACTTTTTGAGTTACAAAATTTGAAGTTAACAACTTATTTTACATAAAATGTTAAATATCTTGTAAAATATTTGGTTTTCGATAATCTTTATTTTAATGCACGGTATAATTAGATCGATCAATTGGAAACAAATCGGCTAATTGTTTAGGATGAGACATCCTGTATATACATATATAATAGTTAATTTTTAATATACTTTACTATGTACTTACTTTTTATTTCTTTCTCGTCTGTGTACCAAGTTTGCCAAAGTCTGCCACTGCAAGCGTTTGAAAACTTAACATAGAGAGTATAAAATCCGGGTTTCAAGTTATCTTCAGGCAAGAAGTTGCTAAAATCAAGAATGACACTACCCTTTATAACACTATTTGAAAGAAATGGTACATAGATTTTTCTATTGGCGTCCGATATTAAATATACGTTTGTTACTTCTACACAATCTAATACAAATAAACGTATGAATCGTATTGGTCTATAAAGATAAATAACAATATTGGATTCTCCATGAGACACATAACCCGGTATCAGTGATATCTTCAAGTCATAATGATACGATGTCGGAATGTCCATATAATCTTTTAAGTCGCTGTGCCGCACAGTCATCGCAATGCTATCATTAGGAGAAGCTATTGTCATTACAATGTATGATAAAATATACATTGACAATTTTAGGAACATCATGCTTATTGTTAGTCTCATCTCAGATATCTGCAATAACATTTTTTTGATAAGAATAAGTGGAATAAAAAACAGAATCAGAGGACAATTTATATTATATAATGTAAAATAATAATATGTAATGTAAAAATATAATGTAAAAATGTAATATATAAATATATAATGTAAAATATTAAAATATAATGTGATAAATGCAATACTGGCAATTTTAGTGAAAAATGGAAAATATTTTTACATAAACTATTGTATATTTTTTTATTACACACAATATATGTTTAAAATAAACGTAAAATGAAAATTGTGTTTATCTAATCATACAGTTTCCAGAAAAGAATATTTCTCACGGCGTCTATTTTTTAATGAATTAAAAAAGATAAATTACGTTTCTCAATTGTCTTTCAATTAATATTTGCTACTCATGATATTATTATTGAAACTTTTTGATAATAATATAACTTTTATTCAGCTTCTTACAATTATATTCTAAATAAAGTTTTTGATACACGTGCAAACAGATTTAATTGTATATATTAATAATAAATAGATGTAATCAAGAGCTAGGGTAGGGTGACCACTTTCTGATCAGGTACCAAATTTGACAGGTCGCTATTTAGCGAATTTCACAGTTATTCGTTTAAATGTTGCTCTCTCGTACTTTAACAACCTTATTCTATAATGTTATTATTATTAAAGTTATCGACGTTGTTTTGTTTCTGCTCAGCTAGGAAAGAAAGCTAACATTAATAATGATAGTAAATATGGTAACTCAGACTCAGTCTTTTAAAGGTATATTAGTAATTTCACTTTTGCTTTCTCAATTTACTGTAAATATTTTTAAATTTTGCAGAAAGTTACAAAAAGATGAACTTTCAAATTTTCATATCGTCTGATCCTATTTAATATATATATAAAAAAAAAGAATACGGGTGGTATTAAAATTAGCATTTGCCAGTGCCATTACTTTTCACTATTTACTACAAATAGTTAAAAATCGATGTTTTATCCATAATAAATATCGTTTTTCTGCAAATTAAAAATTATTTTAATTGCAAATGCTACATTTTAATAATATAAATTATATTGTTAACAATATAATTAATTTTAGTGTGTATTTTTAATTTTTTTATCATTAGAGATAAAAATATTTTTAATTGCATTCTATATTTGTAAATCATTCGATAAATAAATATACAACAAAATAAATAACGACTTTTTCGTTTTTTATATTTTTAAATCATTTTATGGTAATCGTCAAAAATTGACTGAATACCAAGCTGACTTCAAATGTGACAATTGTACCTATTTGATGGCAAAAGCTTCTGAATATTTCGTTTGTTCACTGTATTATTTAAGAAGATGTTATAATTACGTTATAATTTAATGTTGAAATTTTCACAATTTTTATCTTGTTCTGTTAAAAGCAATGCATTTATAGTTTATTATATAAATTTAATAAAAATTATTTTTATTTTTACTTAAATATATGTTGCATTCTATTCTTACAGAATGCTAATTTTAAATTACTTTGTGTTGTTAATTAGTGTCGTCAATTATTATTTAAAGTTTCAAATAAAATGTCATCAATTTAAAGAAATTTGAAATTTTGATCCGCATTTGGACTCGTGCTTATGCGAATCAGCTGCTATATTTTTATTTTGAAAATAATGCAGTGAATATCCAGCTACACATTTTCTGTGTAGATCCTTGTCTATCAAATACCTGAAGGTCAAGACATTCCGCTGCTGATCCGAATTTGGTCCCCGAAAGTGATCACCCTAATTATATATAGGATTTGTCTAATTAATATAGGATTTGTCTTAAAATAACCTGATTTACAAACAGGGGTATTTACTTCTAGATTAATACATTGAAAAATTAAAATAGAAAGAGGAAATACATATATTCTATTTTGCTAAGCATTATTTGGTTAACATGGTGATGATTGCAACATCTGTATTCTTATGAAACTGATTATTTAAAACTGTAGCGGTTTTTGATCATGTTTCTTTTATTCCAATTTTATAGAATGCTTGATTATATTAGTCTGTATTTTAAAACAACAATCAATTATATTACATATATTTAATTTAAAAACACAAGAGTAATGTTGAAAATAAAAACATACATTAAAACTATATTAAATAAAAGAAGTTGACAAATGTAACTGATAAATGGAATACAAAACAAGAAAAAGCTGTAGGTCCGGAAATTCGTTAATTTTGATATAACTCCATTTTTATAAAATTAAAATATTTGCTTTACATTCTAATACAACATACATATCAATTTTTTCCTTTGTTTATGGGTATCCAATCGCTTCCCGAACGATTGATCACATCTTTGGAACAATTATTTATAAATTAAGTTTACTTCAGAGATATAGCGTATAAAGTTTTTATAAATATTGAATTTTAAAATACTGAAATATTAAGCATAAAATATGTATAAAATTATATATTTTAATGACTGGTTCGTTGGAATTTATCATGCTTGTGACTAATATTTTATTATCACTAGATTTATGTCATTTGTAAGTAATGTACTTATACTTTAAGGAACTGAATAATAAACATGTTTATACCATGCTTATTTGAAATTTTGTCGATATATGTTTCAACAGCACACCGAAACGTAATGCAAATTTTTCATTTGTACTTATCATTGTAAAACATTTTTCTAAGAAAGTAAATTGATATTTATTGCATTTATATTTTTTTAATTTGTATTACATATTTAATTTAACATATGAGAAAATATTGCTTTTAAGCATGTATTCGAGAAAGAATGTATTAAACAAAGCTTAATCTGTCTTTAATTTACGTTTCTCTTTTTATGCCGTATTATAATTTAAAAAATCAAGAAATATTACAATTTACATTTAAATGTTCTCATGTTATATGCAATAAACAAAAAAGATATAATATCAAAAGAAAAAAGAAAAATATTTTAATATTTACTTAAATATTAAATAAAATATTTTTTTACAAATTGAGAACTCTAATATAGCAAGGTTTTCATTAATTTTTATACAATTATATTTAAAACGTAAATCTAAATGTTTTATATTTAGATTTATTTTAATATATTTGTTTCGAGAATGTATGTCATATTAGAATATGTTATATTTAATTTAACAAATCAGAAAATATTGATTATAAATATCAATTCGCGAAAAAATGTATCAAACAAGGCTGAATCTGTCGTTAATTTTTAATTTATTATATAATAATATCATAAAAAATTAAAACTATATTATAATTTACATCTAAATTTTTTTATATTATCTGCAATATAAAAAAATTAAGATAATAATTGAGAAACATAAGTGGATTTATTTAAATGTTTAATTTAACATTTAATAAAATATCTTTTAGATATTGCGAAATTTGAGACAACGAAAAATCTTAATTATTATTACATAATTCTATCTAATAGAAATATCTGAATTTTTTTATTCAACTTACATTGATTTACCTGTTTGTAGAATCACGAGCCGAATCACTCGAACTAAAAGTATATCGTATATTTGTGATGATACCTCTTCAGAGGACAGACGAGAACTGACGACATTTGCGGGACGATAGCATATGAAATTCATAAATCTCATATAAATAGCTTTCCAAAGTTATACGTAGCAATTTGTCTCATCGATTAGATTGACAAAGATCAATACATAATATATATAATAAGAATTAAAAATCGGCTCGTGTAAAATTAAAATAAGTTATAAAATAATAAACCAACTTAACGAGCCAGTTAGTTTGGTGTTAACAATTTATTTTAAGTCATGAAAATAATACAATCAAAATGATAATTAGTATCTACTAATTTACCTTTATTTATCAAACATTTCGAAGAATGACTTAATAAATATAATATTAATTTTAATAAATATGTCTCAAGAAAGATAGATTTAAAAGAAAATGACGTAAGTAGTTTTATTGCATTTTTATATTAAACAGTGGAAATAATAATGAAAGGAGACTCTATAGCATAAAAATATTTTTTTATGCTATATTATATAAAATGATATGTAAATGTACGTATGTAATATAAACGTTTCAAATGTGAAAATAGTATAATATATTAAGTAGTCGTAGAGATAACAATAAGAAAACCATATATGTTTTTATAAGCGAAATATTCTTTCACAACTTTGATACACCTTCAATATCATTGAGCACTCTTTTTTAATAAACGATTTTTTAATAAAATCTTAAAACTTTGTTTATCAAAATATCTAATTTTGACTATTTTACATAGATTAATTCAAACGATGTAACTTGGTGCAATTTTAAAATATGATATAAAAATATATATTACAAAAAAAAACATTAACCAAACAATTTTGAAAAATGCCATGTTTTCTACTGAAAATTACGAGACTCTAAATAAATGTACCATCGTAAACCGTAACTTTTCTGTAAACCTTGAACCGATGAACAAAGTCTTCAACACAGGAATCGAATCATTAAGCAGCAATAATGTCGGGAATACAATTGAAATGATCTCTTCAATCTGAACAATGTTAGAGCTTAGAAAAAAGAAAAATATAAAAACAATATAATACAGATGTAACATGTTATCGAAGATATAAAGTATAATTCTGGCATCTATATATATATATATATATATATATATATCTTTAGATCTAGATATAGTAGGAGAAGAAAGTTAAATAGGTAATATTCTCAACTTATTTTAATTTTATTGTAATATTACTGTAGATGCTAGAATTATACTTTATATCTTCGATAACATATGTTACATTTGTCATATTATATTGTTTCTACATATATTCTTCTCTTTTCTAAGCTCCAACATTATTCAGAATCAATATATATTTTTGATTTTTATTTGATACACACTATATATATATCTTTAGATGTTCAAAATTATATGACAATATATGAGATAACGAATACTTATATACTATAATTTTAAATAAATTACCAAATTTGGCATTAATATTAAATAATATATATTAATGTTCGTTTATGTGTATATCTATCTGCGAGTGAGTGTGTTTGTATTCGTGTGCACATGTTATAATTCTGGATAGTCAAAATCGATTTGATTTCGCGCATAAATTTAATGACAATTTACGCGTGCGCCAAATAATATAAATATATAAAAGCAGCGTTTACATGATATCGAGACACAAGAAGACGAAGCAAGTTTGCTAAGGTTTTGTTACTGTGTAGCCTAAAATGGAGCAGAAAAACGCAAAGAAGAAAATTGGTGAGTTTAATTATAATTTAATCCGATTTAACAAAGAGGTAATAAAGATATACAGAGGTAATATTTTTTTCATGTTATTATTATATTTTTTAAAAATATTATTCTTTGGTAATTTAGTATATTTCGATGTATAGTGTGATTATTATATATAGCAAGTTTCGCGATTGTTTAGATTCAAATATAATTGCGTACATTATATTTTTCGAAATCTATCGGTATTAAAAATGTATTTTAGCGAATAGTTACGCAATGTAGATCTAAACAAAATAAGTTCAACATTACGTTACAACTTTCACTTCGTAGACGACTAAAGTATATTTGAATAAATGCTATTATTTTAGACATATGAAATTATTGCAAAATATAATTTCTTCCAAATTGTTAAATATTAAATTTTTCTATTAAATTTCACGAATAAATGACCGATTGCGAATTTTACGTTTATTCTAATAGCTGAAAATATAATCAACATACTGTTCAAGAAGTTTGTTACATATTTAGCAAAGTTTGACTGTGTACATATGTTAGTAAACATTAGACATGTAAGAATACATTTACTCCTAGAAACTATTTCTTTTTCGATTATCATTCTATGTACGCATACTTTTTATTTTATCGTATTTCAAATTTAGTGTTAAATTTTTTAGATGTTAAAAATTTCTGTTTATAGACATGCAAAAAAGTGACGAAAAGATTTGAAGACGTTACGTACTCTGTATTTTCATTTATTTAATTACAAATTTTGTAAATTGTTATAACTTATTTATTAATTTCAACATTTGTAATTTAATCATCATTGTTAATTCTAACATATCCCATCTATCAATTTCTCTTGGTCTTTCTTTATATTCTTTTTTATTTGCCAGATTCTGTAATATCAGACGCGATGTTCAAGTTCGCGGTGACAAGTCTGCATAAATATGCGACGATCAACCCGAAAGAAGATATTGTTTTTAGTCCATATAGCATATACCAGGGACTTTACTCTACTTATCTGATATCCAGTGGTGAAATAGAACAACGTTTAAAAAAAATTCTTTATTTACCGGCGGATCTCTCAAAGTATGAGTTAATGGATATCATTAATTTTAATAAATATGATACGATCAAAATCATTAATTTTAAGAACCCAGCGAATCAGTCTGGACGCTATGAGGTAAATAGTTTTGACGCCCTTTTTAATAATATTAGTCATTAATATAATAATAAAAATGTCAAATTTCAAATCTGTATTGTAAGAAAATAACACCTAAAGATATGTATCAATAAATATAAATTTGCAGCTCTGAAAAATATGTATATTAAGCGGTAAAAGCCATAATACAGAAAAATATATTTGTGTAAACAAAATGAGATTTCGAATATTTGGTAAATCTTATATATATATATACATATATATATTTTGAGCAAACTTTTAATAAATAATTTTTAATACAATCCAAAAACATTGCTTATCGAAATATAAAATTGTGATTTTTTTATTTAGAGTAATTTAAATGAAGTAAATTGATGCAATTTTAAAATATGATATAAAAATACATTTTATATGATTAAACATGTGAAACAAACATTTTTAAAAAGTCATATAAATTCTACATTTAAGAATAAATAAGGATCCTTTAAACATTTCCTTAAATGTTCTAGAGTCCTACCTTTTTCTTACAATGTGCTCGATGCTCGGTAGCTATTATGACGAATTTGTTGCATATATAATGTATCAAATAAAACATACTGTTGGTACTTATTTCTTGATAAAAGGCGGAATTAGAAATTATGTATTAATATTAAGTATTAGGATAAAAACTGTTCATAAGTATTTGAATGTGTTAAAAACAAAATGATGATTTTTATCGCATTTTACTGCCATATATTTACTTTTACTTGCTTAGAATTAAATCATAATATATGTTTACGCGAAAATTTAGAATTCTTGGTAATGTAAAATAAAAATGTTTCTTTTTTAGATTCCACTAGTAAATGGATTTGAATCTATAATCAGCAATAATATCCAGCATACAAATAAAGAGTTCAATGAAATTCTGCAATCTCTGATAAAACATTACTTTCGCAAACCAATGAACTTAAAAGTAAAAACAGAAAAAATGAATACTTTTGTAGCAAACATACATAATTTCAAAGGTCGAAATCATATCGTCTCTCAATCAACAAGTGGATTGACTGATGCACCAAGTCTGACTCCTTCTGATCTAAAACTTGATATATGTGAGTATATATATATATATATATATATATATATATATATATGTATATATTTTCTTTTTCACACAATCTTACATACCTTTTTATAAATTGGTAAATTTTAGTAACTTTAATAAATTATTAAAATAAATTTTAAAGCATAATCCGTCGACTTAATTTATTTGGTAAAGTACATTCGTTTTATCTTTTATTGTCGACGAACGGAAGACTAAAGCTATATTAAATGTTAAAAATGAGTCGGCATTTTTCCACTGATAGAAACAAAAAACCTTTGTATTTATAAAATTTTTAAAATATAACGAGAGATATACATATAGTAACATATATAATGCTCGATGCTCGGCAGCTATTATGACGAATTTGTTGCAGTGTATAATGTATCAGATAAGACATACTGTTGATGCTTATTTCTTGATAAAAGGCGGAATTAGAAATTATGTATTAATATTAAGTATTAGTATAAAAATTGTTCATAAGTATCTGAATGTGTTAACAACAAAATAATGATATATTTTTATCGCATTTTACTGTCATATATTTATTTTTTCTTGTTTAGAAATAAGTCATAATATCTGTTTACGCGAATATTTTGAATTCCAAGAAATGAAAAGTAATATAAGAATATTTTTTTTAGTTTATAGTACCCAATTACAGGTGACTGTAAAAGAGTTAATCATTAAGGAACATTTCACGTCGCTGTATATGTTGATACCTTCAAGCAAAAACAAGAAAGTTGAAACGGATATGCGCAGCATTAATCTTTTCAGGTTGATTGACAGATTGTCAACTAGCGAGGGAATGGATATACTTCGTAACATATTGTCTCGTGCAAAAAAAGTTAAACCACTAGCTCTCTATACACGGCTAACCTTCGAAATCGAAAAGTATCTGGATATGCGTGTTCTGTTGCGAGAACTAGGCATCGAACAATTATTGACGCCCGATGCAATTCCTTTGGACAACACCGTCGCGGAAAACGATCGAAGCGCGCACTTCGGCAATGCCGTGCACCGTGCTCGTGTCAAGGTCACGCAGGAGGACGTCGAGGCGGCTGCAGTAACCGTGATTAGCGGACAGGAACCATGTTCGAATGATATTATAACCGACATGGATATCAAGTATCCATTTCTTTGGTTTATTTACGACAAAATGTACGCAGATATTCTTTATATCGGCGTTTTTAATAAAGTCGACAAGCACGTTTCTCAAACAAAATTGACAGGTACAAATTGAATCTATGAAATGATTTGCTCGTTCTAAGAGTTTATTTAAAAGTTTTCATATTTATGATAACAATTTTAAGGGAAACCAGTTTCGAAGCTTTCGAAAATACATAATTTCAAAAATCGAAATCAAATCGTCTCTCAATCAACAAGTGCATTGACTGATGCACCAAGTCTGACTCCTTCTGATCTGAAATTTGATATACGTGAGTATATTGATTTTGGAGAATTTTTTGTTGGAAAACTTTACAGCGAATTATATGGAAATTCTTAAGCGATTGTTATTAAATTTTTGTAAATACATTTTTTTTTATTTAAAAATGTGGACTGTGAAGATCGCATTTGAGTAATTTTTTCTCGTCGAAGTTGCAATTTGACGAATAATTTCATATACATCCAAATTTTGTCTGAAATTAAAATAATAAAAATTTATTATTATTTTGTTCTAAGTTGCACCATATTGGCAATTTTATATTTTTTTCTTATTTTATTAGATAATCGGCAATACAATGTCATAAGTAATTAGAAAATCAGTTTGTGAATTTAAAACGGGATTTAAAGATATGAGAATGCTCGCAAATTTATAACTCCGGCGATTACGATACGAGTTGATTTTCATATAATGCTCCTGATATGATAATGATAACAATTATACATATAGCAAATCTCGGGATTATTTTTATTTGGGTATAATCGCGAACATTACACATTTCTAAATACGTCAGTTTTAATAACGTATTTTAGCGAATGGTTACAAAATTAAACATTATACACGTAATAAGTTCAATATTAAGGTACACCTATTTCACTATGCAGATAATTAAATTTATATTTAAAAAAATGTCGGATGTGTATAAATGTCAATAATTATAATTATTGACCAATTTCGAATTTTGTGTACATTTTAATTTATGGAAATATAATCAACATACATTTCAACAAATTTGTTAATTAATATAATTTGTATAGTTTGATTATAGACATATTAGTAAACATAAAATATGTAAGAATACATTTACCCCTCGAAACTAACTTTTTTTCGATTATCATTCTATGTACGCATACATTTTATTTTATCGTACTACGAATTTAATGTTAAAAATTTCTGTTTATAGACATGCAAAAAGTGACGAAAAGATTTGAAGACGTTACGTACTCTGTATTTTCATTTATTTAATTACAAATTTTGTAAATTGTTATAACTTATTTATTAATTACAACATTTGTAATTTAATCATCATTGTTAATTCTAACATATCCCATCTATCAATTTCTTTTGGTCTTTCTTTATATTCTTTTTATTTGCCAGATTCTGTAATATCAGACGCAATGTTCAAGTTCGCGGTGACAAGTCTGCATAAATATGCGTCGATCAAGCCAAAGGAAGATTTTGTTTTTAGTCCATATAATATATATCACGGACTTTACTCTGCTTATATGATTTCAAGTGGTGAAATGGAACAGCGTTTAAGAGATATTCTTTATTTACCGAATGTTTCGAAGTATGAGTTGCTGAAAATTATTAATTTTGATAAATACCCCGCAAACCGGCCTGCTCGCTATAAGGTAAATAGTTTTGACGCCCATTTCAATAATAATATTAGTCAAAAATATTATAATAAAAATGTCGAAATATTAAATTGTGACTCTTTTTTATGTAGACTAATTTGAATGAAGTAAATTGATGCAATTTTAAATAATGATATGAAGATTCAGTTTATGTAAATAAACATGTGAAACAAACATTTTAAGAAAATGATATAAATTCTATATATAAGAATGAATAGAGATTTTTTAAACATTTCCATTAATGTTCTAGAATTCTACCTTTTATATGCCTTACCATTACGTAATTCAAAATCAATGTATATTTTTAAACAAAAAACTTTGTGGAGACATCAAAACAAAAGAAAAACTGTACAATATTGGATTAAAATCTATAATTAGCAATAATATCCAGGATACAAATAGAGAGCTCAATGAAATTCTGCAATCTCTGATAAAGGATCATTTTCGCAAACCGGTGAACTTGAAAGTACAAACAGAAGAAATGGATATTTTTTTGGCAAGCACACATAATTATAAAGGTCGAAAGCAAATCGTTTCTCAATCAACAAGTGGATCGACTGATGCATCAAGTTTATCGACTTCTTCTTATCTGAAGATTAAAACATGTGAGTATATATACATATATATATATATATACATATTTCACGCAATCTCACATACCTTTTTATAGATTGATAAATTTTAGTAACTTTAATAAATTATTAAAATAAATTTTAAACAATATATAATTTGTCGATTTAATATATTTGATAAAATACACCGTTTTATCTCTTATTGTCGACGAACGGATGACTAAAGCTATATTAAATGTTAAAAATAAGTCGGTATTTTTCCACTGACAGAAACGAAAGAAAATTTGTATTTATAAAGAATTTAAATATAACGAGAGATATAGATATATAATGTTCGATGCTCGACAGCTATTATGACGAATTTGTTGCAGTGTATAATGTATCAGAGGAGACATACTGTTGGTACTTATTTCTTGATAAAAACGGAATTAGAAATTATGTATTAATATTATGTATTAATATAAACATTGTTTATAAGTATTTGAATGTGTTAACAACAAAATAAGGATTTTTATCGCATTTTACTGCAATATATTTATTTTTTTTTCTTTAGAATTAAGTCATAATATCTGTTTACGCAAATATTTTGAATTCCAGGGAATGTAAAGTAATATAAGAATATTTTTTTTAGTTTATAGTACCCAATTACAGGTGACTGTAAAAGAGTTAATCATTAAGGAAGAATTTACGTCGCTGTATATGTTGGTACCTTCAAGCAGAAACAAGAAAGTTGAAACGGATATGTGCAGCACTAATCTTTTCAAGTTGATTGAAAGATTGTCAACTAGGGAGGGAATGGATATACTTCGTAACTCATTGTCTCGTGTAAAAAAAGTTAAACCACTAGTTCTATGTACATGGCTAACCTTCGAAATCGAAAAGTATCTGGATATGCGTGTTCTGTTGCGAGAACTAGGCATCGAACAATTATTGACGCCCGACGCGATTCCTTTGGACAACACCGTCGCGGAAAACGATCGAAGCGCGCACTTCGGCAATGCCGTGCACCGTGCTCGTGTCAAGGTCACGCAAGAGGACGTCGAGGCTTTTGCAGTAACCGTGATCAGCGGACAGGAACCATGTTCGAACGATATTATAACCGACATAGATATCAAGTATCCATTTCTTTGGTTTATTTACGACAAAATGTACGCAGATATTCTTTATATCGGCGTTTTTAATGAAGTCGACAAGCACGTTTCTCAAACGAAATTGACAGGTACAAATTAAATCCATCAAATGATTTGCTCGTTCTAAGAGTTTATTTAAAAGTTTTCATATTTATGATAACAATTTTAAGGGAAGTCAGTTTCGAAGCTTTCGAAAATACATAATTTCAAAGATCGAAATCGAATCGTCTCTCAATCAACAAGTGCATTGACTGATGCACCAAGTCTGACTCCTTCTGATCTGAAATTTGATATACGTGAGTATATTGATTTTGGAGAATTTTTGTTGGAAAACTTTACAGCGAATTATATGAAAATTCTTAAGCGATTGTTATTAAATTTTTGTAAATACATTTTTTTTTATTTAAAAATGTGGACTGTGAAGATCGCTTTTGAGTAATTTTTTCCCGTCGAAGTTGCAATTTGACGAATAATTTCATATACATCCAAATTTTGTCTGAAATTAAAATAATAAAAATTTATTATTATTTTGTTCTAAGTTGCACCATATTGGCAATTTTATATTTTTTTTTTATTTTATTAGATAATCGGCAATACAATGTCATAAGTAATTAGAAAATCAGTTTGTGAATTTAAAACGGGATTTAAAGATATGAGAATGCTCGCAAATTTATAACTCCGGAGATTACGATACGAGTTGATTTTCACAAAGTGCCCTTGATATGATAATGATAACATATATACATATAGCAAATCTCGCGATTTTTTTTATTTGAGTAGAATCGCGAACATTACAAATTTCTAAATACCTCGGTATTAATAACGTATTTTAGCGAATGGTTTCAAAATTACACAATATACACGTAATAAGTTCAATATTAAGGTACAACTTTTTCACTACGCAGATGATTAAATTTATATTTGAATAAATGTCTGATGTTTATAAATGTCAATAATTATAATTATTGACCAATTTCGAATTTTGTGTATATTTTAATTTCTGGAAATATAATCAACAAACTTTTCAACGAGTTTGTTAATTAATATAATTTGTATAGTTTAATTATGGACATATTAGTAAACATAAAATATGTAAGAATACATTTACCCCTCGAAACTAACTCTTTTTCGATTATCATTCTATGTACGCATACATTTTATTTTATCGTACTACGAATTTAATGTTAAAAATTTCTGTTTATAGACATGCAAAAAAGTGACGAAAAGATTTGAAGACGTTACGTACTCTGTATTTTCATTTATTTAATTACAAATTTTGTAAATTGTTATAACTTATTTATTAATTACAACATTTGTAATTTAATCATCATTGTTAATTCTAACATATCCCATCTATCAATTTCTTTTGGTCTTTCTTTATATTCTTTTTTATTTGTCAGATTCTGTAATATCAGACGCGATGTTCAAGTTTGCGGTGACAAGTCTGCATAAATATGCGTCGATCAAGCCAAAGGAAGATTTTGTTTTTAGTCCATATAATATATATCACGGACTTTACTCTGCTTATATGATTTCAAGTGGTGAAATGGAACAGCGTTTAAGAGATATTCTTTATTTACCGAATGTTTCGAAGTTTGAGTTGCTAAAATTATTAATTTTGATAAATACCCCGCAAACCGGCCTGCTCGCTATAAGGTAAATAGTTTTGACGCCCATTTCAATAATAATATTAGTCAAAAATATTATAATAAAAATGTCGAAATATTAAATTGTGACTCTTTTCTATGTAGACTAATTTGAATGAAGTGAATTGATGCAATTTTAAAATATGATATAAGGATTTAGTTTATTTAAATAAACATGTGAAACAAACATTTTAAGAAAGTGATACAAATTTTATATTTAAGAATAAATACGGGTCTCCTAAACAATTTCTTTAATGTTCTAGGATGCTACCTCTTATATGCCTTATCATTATGTAATTCAAAATCAATGTATATTTTTAAACAAAAACTTTGTAAAGACTTTGAAACAATGAGACGACTGTACAATGCTGGATTCGGATTTACAAGCAATAATAATATTCAGGATGCAAATAGAGAGCTCAATAAATCTCTGCAATTGCTGCTAAAGGGTTTTTTTCGTAAATTGGTGAACTTAAAAGTAAAAACAAAAGATATGGATATTTTTTTGGCAAACGTATTTCATTTCCATGGTCGAAATCTAACCGTCTCTCAATCGACTTCTTCTTATCTGAATTTTAAAACATGTGAGCATATATATTTTTTGCACTATCTTACATAGCTTTTTACATGTTGGTAAATTTTAGAAAATTTAGTAAATTATGAAAATTAATCTTAAACAAAGCATAATTCATTATTTTAATACTTATTTTTTGATAAAAGGCCCAATAAAAATTATGCATTGATTTTAAGTATAAATATTGTTAATAAGTGTTTAAATATGTTAAGAATAAATTAATTTATTTATCGCATTATATTGCCACTTATTTTATTTACACTTCTTTATAACTAAGGCATGATATATGTTTACTCAAATAATTTCTAATTCTTTAAAATGTAAAATAACATATGGATGTTCTTTTTAGTTTCCAGTGATGAATTGCAGGTGGACGTAAAGGAGTTAATCATCAAGGAACATTATACGTCGCTGTATATGTTGATACCTTCTTTAACAAGCATAAACAACACGGTCAAAACAGATATGAGCACTGGCCTTTCTAGCTTGATTGAAAGATTGTCAACAAGCGAGGGTATGGATATACTTCGGAAATTACTGTCTTATGCAGAAAGAGATAAACCACTGTCTATCGTTATTCCGCCGACCTTCGAAATTGAAAAGTATCTGGATATGCGTGCACTGTTGCGGGAACTAGGCGTCGAGCAATTATTGACGTCCGACGCGATTCCTTTGGACCACATCTTCATGGCAGACTATCAAAGCGTGCACTTCGGCAATGCCGTGCACCGTGCTCGTGTCAAGGTCACGCAGGAGGACGTCAAGGCGGCTGCAGTAACCGTGATCAGCGGACAGGAACCTTGTTCGAACGACATTATAATCGACGTGGATACCAATTGTCCATTTCTTTGGTTAATTTACGATAAAATGAACGCAGATATTCTTTATATCGGCGTCTTTAATGAAGTTGGCAAGCCCGTTTCTTGAATTGGGTTGACAGATACAAATCCTATCAAACGAACTGCTCATTTTAGGAGTTTATTGGAAAGTCTTCATAATTATGATAACAAATTTAAGGGAAGCCAGTTTTGAAGCTTTAAAAAATATGATTTTCAAGAATTTTCTATTGGAAAAACTTTACAGCGTATTATTTGGAAATATTTAGGCAATTGTTATTAAATTTTTGTATATACATTTTATTTATTTAAAAATGTAGACTGTGAAGATCGCTTATGAGGAATCTTTTTGCCGTGGGAATTGCAAATTGACAAGTAATTTCATATACATTTAAATTTGTCTGAAATTAAATACTAAAAATTTATTATTATTTCAGTCTAAATCTGCACCATATTGTTAAATTTATACTTTTTTCTTATTTTATTTGTTAATCAGCAATACAATATAATAAATAATAAAAAATAGATATTTTAATTTAAAACCAATTAAGATATATGAAAATGCTCGCAAATTTACAACTGGTGATTAGGTTCGAGTTGATTTTTATAAAGCGCCCTTTACAGACCATTCATTGCAGAACATTTATATATATATGTAAATAATTAATAATTGCTTAAAATTTTGCAATGATCCGCTATGCTGTTTTACTAAAAAAATTGTCAAATAATATCTTTTTAGCTTCTCTTAAATTTAGAAGTACACAAATCGGATATATTTTTTGAAATGGTGATTGGTAACAGATAGTTGATGGAAAATGTACATATTTTAATTTATAATTTTTAAGACAATTTATTTGTCGATTTCAGGTACTTTGCATTATATCAGCTCGATATATTTTATGATTAATTTATGTTAAATCGATGAAATAACACAATCAAATATATGTATACATATGTATGTAAATACTAATGCATATATTTATATGATATATGTATTTATGTATATACGCGTATACATTTATGTATAAAGTTTTAAAAGTTTAAAGTAAATTTTTTGTCGATTTCAGTTAATTCGCATTATATTTGCTTGATATAGTCTATGATTAATTTATGTTAGAACTTTGGAAACCGATATAATAACACAATCAAATATATGTATACATTTGTATATAAATATTAATACATATATTTATGTGAATATATACGTAGATACACGTATACATTTATGTATAAAATTTTTATCAGGAATACAAATCATTGAATTACTTCTTTCAAATTTTATCATAAATGTTAATCATTGATGTATTTCTTTCAAATTTTGTGAAAGCAACAATGGAATTAAATATACATTATAGAATATATCTTAAATATGTGTTATACAAAATTGCAGAAATATTAAATGTGCTATCATATAATAAGAGAAAATGTTAATAGTATTTTCATTATTTTTAAATATGTGATACTCTTAACTTATTATTTTAATTTCATTATATAACGTTGCTGTAAATGTTAGAATTATACTTTATATCATCGATAATATGTTGCAACTGTTATATTAAATTGTATCTATATCCTTTTTTTCTGGGCTTCAACATTATTCAGATTCAATAAATTTTTGACTTTTTTCTTATTTAACATATACTATATATGTATATATAGGTGCTATATATTTTTTTATATATTTATAATTGTATTAGGACGTAAGAGATAACAAATACTGTTAGCAGAAAATACACCTTTTACCTTTATCTATATAACTCAAAGGATAGGTGTATATGAATAACGCAATGACTTAATACATATATGTTGTACTTTAATGAATGCTTACGGCTATGCGTAATAATAGAAAAGACACAAAGGAAGGAAGAACAAAAATGGACGTTACATCCATATCGATAGTACAATCGATAATAGTTATATCGAGATCTAATGTTCGATACGTCTAATATAATTGCAGTGTGTATCAAACACCTATCAAATCCCCCACTATGATCACTCTGCAATTAGTTGTAATCCCAACTTCTCAATATGTTTATTTATTACAGTATGAGGTAATGGCTTTGTGAAGATGTCTGCCACGTTATCATTAGATGAGATATATTTTAATTCAATTAAACCGTTTTCATGCATTTCTCTAGTAATATGATAAGCAATATCGATATGTTTCGTGCGTGATCTCTCTATTCTATTTCTTGTAAAGTCAATTGCCGATTTATTATCACATCTAATGACATATGGCTTACATGGTATGTCTAAATCAATTGTCTGTGATAATTCATTGAACATCATATCCAACCATATAACTTCTTTTACAGCTATTTCTAACGCAACGTATTCAGCTTCCATAGTAGATGTTGAAATTGACTTTTGTTTGTTCGATTTCCATATTATTGGATTTCCGTATAAAAATACTACCATACCACTATAAGAGTGTCTATCATCTATATCTGATGCCCAGTCTGCGTCACTAAAAATTTCTATTTCATTTGTACCAGAAGTATACATTAGGCCAATGTCTTTTGTCGCAGCCAAGTATCTTAATACTCTTTTAGCTTGTAACCAATGTGTTCTTCCTGGGTTAGAACTAAATTGTGATAATTTCGTTACTGCATATAATATATCTGGCCGTGTTGCTAACGCTACATACATTAATGAACCAATTAATTGTTTATATGGGATATTATTCATTTCGCTCCTTTCAATATCGCTCTGTGGACCGTCACATTTCGATAATTTTATCCCTGGTTCAATCGGTGTTTTACATGTTTTACTATCATTCATTCCATAATCGCTTAACAATTTGTTTATATATAACGCTTGCGATAGTCTTATTTTATTTTCTTCGTATTCAATAGTTATACCTAATAAGTATGATGCTCTACCTAAGTCTCTTATTTCGTATTTAGACGCAAGTAATGATTTAATTTCATTTACTTTGTCAATTGATGGAGCAAATAATATAATATCATCTACGTACAATGTAAGAATAAGATTATTATCATAAACGTAAACGCAATTGCTTGCTTGCAATCTTTTAAATCCGTGTTTTATTAAGAATTCATTAATTGCATTATTCCAGTTATGCCCTGCTTGTTTCAAACCGTATATTGGTCTTAAAAGTTTTGCTACTTTCATTTCATAGTCTTTATGTCCTGGTGGCAATTTCATATAAATTTCTTCCTTAAGATTTCCGTAGAGATATGCACATTTCACATCTAAATGATGTATTTTCCAATCATGTAATACTGACATAGATATTAATAATTTAATTAATGAAATATTTGCGACGGGTGCATATGATTCTGAATAATCAATGTCTTTCTTTTGCGAAAACCCTGTGCAACTACTCTAGCTTTATATCTTGCTATTTTTCCTGTTGAATCTGTTTTAACTTTATAAACCCATTTGCTTCCAATACAATTAACATTTTCAGGTTTATTTAATATTTCCCAAGTATTTCTATTATTCAAACTTGTTAACTCTTCATCCATTGCTAACTTCCATTCTTCCGATTGTGGTGACATTTCCGCCTCTTCATATGTTATCGGTTCAATTATTTCTGTTAAATTGAATTCTACGTTTTTAGGTTTCCCTGCACGACCCCAAGGATTTTTAATTACCTTCTTCGGTCTACCTACTTTACGTTTTGTTTCGGATATTGTTTCATGCGAATTAACAAATTCTGTATTTTTATTCGCGTTTTCTTCCTGTGTTTCACTAGTTACTGATTCTTTATCTTCATCTACAGTATTTACATTATCGGTGTTAGTAAACGGAGTTTCCAATGTCTTTTTACTATAAATATGCTCATACCCACAAACGTTTTCAATGAACTCTATATGTTTTGTTTGTATTACGTCACATTTAATTGGATCCCACAGTCTATATCCTTTTGTTTGATTAGAATAGCCAATTAGTATACATTCTTTTCCTCTAGAACTAAGCTTGTTTCTACCTTGTTTATTTATATGTGCATAGGCTAAGCAACCATATACTTTTAAGTGTTTCACGCTTGGTTTATTCCCTGTCCAAATCCTTTCGGGAATATCATTAACAAATGAATGTATGACTCTGTTTTTAATATAACACGCGGTTACCACGGCCTCGGCCCAAAATCTTTCAGGTAATGCAGCATTTATAAGCATCGCTCGTACTAAATCTAATAACGTTCTATTGAATCGTTCAGCAACACCATTCATTTGTGGTGTATATACATTTGTTCGTTCATGTTTTATACCCATTTCATCAAACATTTGTTCAAGAATCTTATTACAATATTCTAATCCATTATCACTTCTAAATCTTTTTATTTTTCTATCCGTTTCTCTTTCTACCCTAGCTACATATTTACGAATATATTCAACTACTTCATCCTTAGTTTGTAAGCAATATACTGTCGCTTTTCTGGAATAATCATCAGTGAATGTTAAAAAATATTTTGCTCCACCAATTGATTTTATTGGCATAGGGCCACATAAGTCTGAATGAATGAGCTCTAATACATTTTTTGTTTGTCTATGACTTACTTCTTTACAAGGTGCTTTTGTTGATTTTGCAATGCTACAACTACTACAATGCGCATCGTTTATATTTATATTTACGTTGTCTAGACCTCTAACCAAATTTCCTTTTGATAGCTCATGAATAGTTTTCATGTTCACATGACAAAATCTTTGATGCCACTTAACAGAATCTGTTAACTTATTAGTATACGTAACATGCGCTTCGCTTTTAGTCACATTATTTATATCATTCATGACTTTTGCTTTGACAATATATAAACCATTTTCGCATAGAGCTTCCCCCACTATCATATTATTTTCTTTATCTTGAATCTTAAGTTTTCCGTTATCTATCAATAGTCTTTTGTATCTTTTTTCTATTTGAGAAACTGACAATAAGTTACGTCTTACATTTGGAACGTGATATACATTTAGTAGCGTTAAATCGAATTTTTTATTACCAACAAAGGTTCGTATTTTTATATTACCTACACCTACAGCTTTCAGAGTATCACTATTTTTACTGTCTGCTGAATAAATTATTTCGTTAGCTATTGTTTTATATTTATCGAACCATTCTCTATGTTTACATACGTGGTGGGTTGCTCCACTATCTATCAACCATGCATCATCTAGCTGAGTATTATTTAACTCTAATAATAACACATTACTATTTTTATGTGTATTTGATCCGTAACGCTTTTTAGTTCCTTTCGCATTAAACAATTTTGCATTACAACTATTTGCTAAATGCCCTATTTTATTACATCTAAAGCACCTTC